ATGTTCCTCTTACAAGGTGCTCCCAGCCAGAGTCTGTGTGGCAGGAGTTCCAGGACTCCTCTGTTGCCTGAGTTTGGCTTGAGGACTTTCTAATGACTTGCTGAATCTTCTTGAACAAGATGTAGATAAGGCAGCCTAGGATGCTTCCCACCAAGATTCTCTCAAACTTGCTTTGTGACCACAGCCTCACATAGCTACTATCCCACTTTTAAAAATCATGTTTCTTCTAATAAAGTCTTGCACAGTTATTTTTACCCTGTCATCTGCTTCCCAGAAGCTCTCAATTTACATAGCTTGCACATGAGGGGAAGGAGACAGAATAGTGGAGAATGTTACCTGGGTGTGGTAGCAAATACCTGTAGTCCCAGCAACTTGGCAGGGTGAGGCAGGAGGATGATAAATTTCAGTTCTTCCTGAATGGCTTAGCCAGATTCTGTCTCAAAATAAAAATAAAAAGGGACTGAGATGTATCTCAGTAGCAGTGTGATGTGCTGGGTTTGATCCTCAATACTGAAAAAAAGAGAAAGACTCCATGGTTTCTGACTTGGGTTGACTGTGTGCTTGGTAACACTTAAAACAGGAATCTCCATCTGAAGCAATAAGACATAAGAGGACCATGTATGAAGTGGGGTGAGTAGGGTGTGTGTGAAAGGACAAAAGAAAGAATAGGCAGGGAAACCTTGGGTAGGACAGCAGTTCCACCTCTTATACTGCTAAGTATCTGTTGCTTAAGAACAGAGAACCCTGAGGGCTCGTCCTGATTCTTAAGGCTAACTTCAATATCATCCATGATTTAGAAACAGATTCCTGTAAAAACAACTATGAGCTTCCATGGAGTTTCCATCTTAGTTTAAGCTACTATAACAAAATAGCACAGACTGGGTGGCTTAAACACCATCTACAGTATTTGTAGTTTTGGAGACGCTGGCAGATTCAGGTTTGGGTAAGGGTTCCCTTCCTGGCTTGTAGATAGTCACTTGGTGCAAATATGGAGACACACACACACACAGAGAGACAGAAACACACAGAGAGAGACAGAGAGAGGCAGAGAGAAACATAAAGAGACAGAGAGAGAAGAGAGGAAAGAGAGAAGAGAGATAGAGACCAAGACAGAGAGACAGAGAGAACAAGAGACAGAGAGGCAGAAGCAGAGACAGAGACAGAGAGACTGAGAGACTGACACAGAGAGAGAGAGACAGAGGCAAAGACAGAGACAGACAAAGACACAGAGAGAAAGAGAGATAAAGACAGAGAAACAGAGAGTCGTCTTCTTTTTGTAAAGGACCTAATCTAAAACCTAATCACCTCTCAAAGCCCCCACCCCAAATACCATCCATTGAGGATTACTGGGGGACAGGGCTTCTACCTATGAATTTCAAGGGGACATAAATATTCAGTCCATAGCAGTTTTTTCCAGCCATACTGAGAAGCCTCACTTCACAGCCTTAATGACATCCTGTGCCATGTGGACACAGCATAGGTTGTTCTAAGATGTTCCTGTTTCCATGCAGGATAAAGGAATTAACTCTGGCTTATAGAATTTAACAGCGAGATCCCTTCAAATACCCTACCCTCAAAGAGGTGCCACTGTCCTCTGTAGGCTTTTTGTAGACCCTGTTTTTCAGTCTTGCTAAGTGGATTATGAGGCACAGCTTGTTCATTGAGAACAATAATTTTCCCTTATCTCTCTACCCTTATCCTCCACCAACTCTTTTATCTTCAAGTACATTTTAAAAAGGGTGGGGTGATCACATGTGCGAATGCAATAACTTCCAGAATAAATACAGAAGCATATCCACGGTAGTTAAGTACGGTTTTGTAAACAGAAGCATGTTTAACTAGTATGGCCAAGTGAAGAACAAAAAGCCAGAGACATAAGGCAAGGGCTTTTTATTGGAGCTGTAGACTAGTTGAAAATATTTCCACTAGACAAGGAGATTTTACTCTGCCATTAACTCATTAATGTTTGTAAAGTGTCTATTTTATTATAGATACAATGCTGATAATGCCACTCCTCAGTACGTGTTCATTATTCTGTGCTTTCTCTATGGCTGCCCAAATGCCATGCTATGCATTCTTTCTCATGCCACAGTGAAATTCCTCTGTCCAGCCCTCTTCCCTTCATTTATACAAAGCTAACCCTCCTGGTTTTGTTCTAGCCACAGAACAGAGGGAAAAGGAATTGCAATCTTGATAAGATACTACTGTGTGTATTCTTTTTTCCCTTTAAAAGACTGATGCTTTTATAAGTTTATCGATTCTGTTTGCTTAACAAATATGTTAAAAACCGGAACTGTGCTTCCAAAGCCTCCAAATCAAACAGGACAAGCATTGCTGGCTTGAACATTTCCTACTTGCCATAAATCTGAGTTCAAAGAAGCTACAGAAGGTGTGCGTCCCATGGGCAATTCTATTCAACAAACATTTACTGTTAAAAATTCTTTTAACTTTCCCTGCCTTATCCTTAAACACTGTACTATTTGTACTTGAGATTATCACAGGACTGAGGAGTTGGAGAAATCTCCCTTTTCCATTCTAGAGTTTTCCTCCCTAGTCTGTTTCTTTATGCCAGCTCCAAACATCCAAGGAACAAAATTGAAATAAGAATGGGTTCAGAGATATTTTTCCTGTCCTGTTTGTTTGGTTGGGGCTACCCCGAACCACATTTCCTAAGAACTTGTAAGTCAGCAGCAATTGCTCAGAGTCAACAGTGTGTTTTATTGACCAAATCTGGCTATGATGAGATGGGGAATTTCCTCACACAAAGCATGAATTCCTAGGAAGATAGACAATACCTAGATGCGTAAGATACTGACACTCTCTCAATGTTCAGATCCAGCCGCTGCTTGAAGGCAAGTAGATATTTATACATTTCTAATCACACATCTACCTGGGGTTCTTTAGAATTTTTTGGTTGGTGGGAGGTCTGGGAGTATGCAGTAGAGAAACCTGAAGGAATTTTGACCATAATTAGTGTCATGCAGGATCTTAACTGTGACATTTCTTAAGAAAAGTGATATGTAGGAGGAGATGTAGTAACTGGCTTCCAAGTTCAAGGTACTAAGCAAGATTTGGTTCGAAGCCAAATCTTTAGGGGCTACCCCAATCCACATTTCTTAAGATCCCGGAAGCCCACCCTTGCAGCATGTAGGATCTGTGGAGTCTAAGTTAAGATCAGCTGCTGTGAGACCCACCTAAACCAACAGGAGACTGGCGTGGTCCAGGCCACCAGCATGGCAGAAGGGATACCAGAGAAAGGAAAGGCAGCTCTGCTCCTCTTACTGGAGGGAAAGCTGAAGGATGTGCCTTCCAGTCCTTTGACATTCTAGGTGGAGTGCCTCAGGTAACAACAGGCTTTCTAAGAAAGACTTGGGAAGGCCATCAGTCTGTGAGCCTAAAGTAGACCCCGGTAGCTGTGGCCAGGCTCCTGAGCACATCTCATCCACTCTCACACAGGATGGAGGGACTCCTTCTTAAAAGTTCAGTGGAAAATAATTTCCTTCATCTGAGGAAATAAAATAATTTAATGTTTTTATCAGGGAGTCTAGATATCATCTATATTCATATTATTCTTTCTTTTTTTTCTTCCTTGATGGGAAGCACAACATGCTTCTGGGGGTTAGAGAGAAATTTTGTGCTCACAATAGACCTGAGGTCAGTTATTTTCTTCACTTCACAAAGGATCTGGGGTTTGTTCTGGAACTCTTATCCTATGACAGCTGGGGGTGTAATTTACGAGCTCAGTGCTATTTCCACCATTCCTTCTACTTGGACCTACTTGGACCAACCTATTGTCCTCAGGATTTCATTGTCTGCCCGCATCATTCCTCCCTGACAATGACTGTTCACTTCACTGTTTTCTGCCTTGACCACTCATTCAGTGACTCAAGCCCCTAGACAAATAGTTGGAGAGCACCAATAAGAGCGACTAGCTTGAGACTCAGGTACAAGAAATGTGTTATCTTTACAAATATAGCTTTCTAGTTACCCCTGTCAAGGAGCAGGAGCACTGATCTGCACTCTCTTTTTTCAGAAAAGAAAAAGAAACCCAATCTATTCAGTATTTGGAAACTTGGAAAGAGGCCAAACTCATTAAGTTCAGAATTGACAAGAACTAGACTATAAGAGGAAGAGGAACACAGGCAGACAAGAGCTGTTTCTGGGACTCCCCAGGCACAGTGAGGACCACAGCCATCACCAAGTGAGGCAGCTGTAACACCCTTAATGTAGGACGTGTTATCTCTGGATTGACAGTCTGCTTAGGCGGGTACTTTCCTGCTCACCCCAGAGCATCCTTCGGGGTTGTGGATACCTGGTGATGGCTGACAGAAGGCTCTGAACTGAGGACAGGTGGTTTCTCTGAGTGGAAGTTGATTCCAAAGAGGATTACTGAGTGCTCATTTCAGGAGCAATGGCGGAAAGACCATGGAAAAATGAAAATGCCTTGGGAGGTGTAAAGATTGCCACATCTGTTGAGGGTGACAAAGCTGACTTTGAGGGGGAGACTCATAGCCTGCAGTGGGGCAAGAGGGTACAAGGATACTTCCTGAAGTCACTCTACTGGATCCTGGGGAGTGTGTTCTCATTCTAAATCACTGGGCATTTGATCTAGTGGGGTTTGTCTACTGCTTGTTTGTGGTGACAGGCTTTTGTTTCTTTTAATCAAACATCCGGTTTGCAAAGGAGGAGTCTGATAAATTTACAGGATTATCTGGTGAATAAACTTTCTCAAATGTCTGTGCATGACTTTAAGCTAAACTGGCCAGGTATAGGATTTCTTGTCTCCAGAGTTATGGCATGATAGTTTCCTCCAGGTTCAACGATACCCTGAGGGAACAATGATAACTCTACAAACAAGTGGGATTAGCATGTGGATTACCTGAAAAATCTTAGTGCCTGTTATGTCCAGTGCCTGTTATATTGTTTTAGGGGGACTTGGTAAAGGGAGGAGCCACGTAGGAACTTGTTGGGCTTAGCCTTAATCATCTACCAATGATTTACTTATCCTTGTATTATTTAGCTGGAAGACTGGCTGGTGATTTATCAGAAAGTATACAGGAAAAACTTGTCCACATTTGTAAGACCTCAGATACTGGCTGACTGCAAGTTTCTGGCTTCAAGGTAAGCTCTGCTTTGTTGGCTTTGTATTTTCTGAAAGAGTTACATGAAATGTAAAAAATAGACCTCCCAAGAGTTGAGATCACTGTTCTCTTGGGGTTAGCTCTCATTAGGGTTAACATTTAGGGACAGGCAGGCACAGTTCAGCTCATTCAGAGCCTGGGCTGGAATCCTAACTAGCTGCAAACTGTACAGTCTTGGCAATTGTTTAATTTTGTAACCTTCAATTTGCCTCCTTGGTTAATTTTCTTACTTATATTAGTCTTTCAGTGAATTATCCTGGAATTTCTAGGTGTGAGATAATATTTTTAGACACTGGATGATACTTTTACTCCTTCCAATATTCATATTTCTAGTAGAAATTTCTTTTTTATTTCATTGCATTGATTAGGATTATCAGAATGATGTTGGATAGTAACAGTGATAATAAATATCTGTATCATATTCTTGATCTTGACCAATGTTTCAGATACTTCATATTAAGTATGACGATTATTATGTTTTGGTAGACATCATTTATCAGCTTATGAAAGTTGCTTTTGGTGTTTTTGTTTGTTGGTTGTCCTCTTCTTTTTGGAACAGAGTCTTGCTATGTAGCACAGGCTGGGCTATAGTTCATAGCAATTCTCTTGTCTCCACTGCTTGAGTGCTGGGATTACAGATGTGTTGCTATCATGTCTTGCAAGGAAGTTTTTTTGTATTTTAAAAAAACATCATGAATGGATGTCACATTTTTCACATTCTTTTCATCTACTGAACCAAAATGATAATATAGCTTTTCTTGTATATTGTCCTAAGATGATTCATTCCTTAATAGTTTTTGTAACAATGAATTAATTATTTTCCTATGTTGAAATGTTCTTGAATCCAGGACAACTCTAACTGGTTATGTTAAATTTTCTTTTTTAATATTACTGGGCTTGATCACGTTTCATTTCAGATTTCTTTCTTCTCAGTTCATAAGTAATATTCTTACATCACTTTTTTTGTGTGTGCTGTTTCTATCAAGCTCTGCGAACAAGGTGAACTCTAATGAACTGTGTTGATTAAGGAGAACTCCGGAGACCGCAGTAGCCATGCTGAAGGAGCTCCAGCTGTCCCTGTCGGTCGGCCTGCTGCTGGCCTGTGGCTTCCTCTACCAGGTCACCCTGAGGTCCAGCTGCCTCTTCTCATGCCTGCCTTCCTCCAAGTCCCAGCAGGGGCCAGATGCCCTTCTGAGCCAGGGACACAGCATTGTGTTTCTAGAGACTTCAGAGAGGCGGGAGCCACCCCCACTGGTGTCTTGTGCTGTAGAGTCTGCTGCCAAGACTTATCCTGAGCAGCCTGTGATCTTCTTCATGAAGGGGCTCAACGACTCCACGCAGGTGCCCCCAAACTCCAGTAACCCAGGCTTCTCCCTCCTCTCAGCCATAGACAACGTTTTCCTCTTCCCTTTGGATCTGAATAGGCTGTTTGAAGACACACCCTTGTTTTCATGGTACACTCGCGTAAGTGTTTGGGAAATTTAGACAGCAGGGTTGGGAGAAACCAACACAGGACCCACAGGAAGTGAGTCTAGCTGACTCGCTGTATAGATAGGAAAATGGGGGCGAAGGACTCAGGGCAGAGATGGCGCTAAACCCCAGGCTCTCTGACTCTTTACCTCTTGAACCTTTATTTAGATGAACAGGTGAGGCTTACATCAGATTTATGTTTGGGCTGGTGATTTGCTTCTAGCTTTCAGGATCCAGCTTAATTTGGAGGCTATTTTTAATAGAACAAAATTTTAAATATATTTTCTAGGTGGGTGGGGTAGCTATTTTTCATTATAGTTTTAAACCCATGTATGCTAAACTGTTTTTGTACTGAGGCAGAAACCAGGTGCCATTTAACATGAAAATGATGTAAGTAGAAAATTCATGAAGGATCAGTGGACTGGTACTGTATGAAATTGGTGTGTATTAAGATATGACTGAGAAACTTTCAGAGTTCTTAGGAACTTTATAATCTTCATCTTAGCAGCATAGTATATAAGAAAATTATATTTCATTTTAATATTTCTCACACTATCAAGGAATGCTTAAAGAAATTATAGTACAATTAATGAACCTTTTACAGTGTTAGGGAACCTTTTACAGTGTATCATTATAGTTACTTTGACTTTGTAATTACCATCAATATCTTTCAGTTAAAAAAAGATCTGAAAAGACAATATACAATTACAGTAGATATTTGAACATGATTTGGTTAGAAGTGAAGTTAGTGATAAAAATATCTTAATTTCATAAATAAACTTATTTTTCAAATTAAAAAATAATTTAAAAAGTAACATGAATACTATTTCTTTGCTGCACAGAGTCCTATCTAAATCCTAATCACAGGCTAAATCAAATGCCAGAAAATTTCTTTTTCTGTAAAGGGCCAGCTAATAAATATTTTAGGCTTTATGGGCCAAGCAGCAAACCGTAAAGCTATCATATAGGATCTTGTGTTAATTTCTGATGGCTGCCGTAACAAAGTGGTGGCTTCAGACAACAATTTAATCTGTCAGTTCTGGGGACAGGCGTCCCACATTCTTTCCTCTGCATCTTATCAGCTTCTGGTAACCATGGATGCTCCCGGACTTGTAGTCCATCCTTCCTGTCTCTGTTTCCATCTCCTATTTCCCTTCTTTCTTTCTGTGTGTGTAAAACCTCCCCCTACCTCTCTTTTAAAGTACATATATGATTTAGGACTTAGGATGATCCAGGATAATCTACTCATCTCGAGGTTCTTAACTTTTTTTTCAGTGACCAGGAATCGAATTCATGACTTCATGTTTGCCAAGCAGGCACTGTGTCACTGAGTTATACCCTGGGCCCCTCAAGGTTCTTGAACACACCAGCAAAGATTCCTTCCCCATGTGTGGTAACATTGCCTCATCTAAGAATTGGGACCGAATATCATTGGGTGGTCATTCTTTTGCCTACTCTAGAATTCATATTAAAAGAGAGAAAACTCCCACCATGTCATTAACCTGGGCTCGGGGTAGGTTGTCCTGGAGGGGTGGGTATGTCTGCATCCAGTTCCTGTCAATCAGAGATATTTTCTGCACTAAACCATAGGCCTGAAGCTAGGGGTCCAGTGGGCCAGGCAGGTAGAGGTAGGATTTGAGGCAACCTCTAGGGTTAATCTTACTCTTGGTCCCAGTGACTTCTAGATCCCAAAGTGCCCATCCGTGCATCTGATGAGCCTGGAAATGTCAAACTGGGACTTGTTAGGAGACGGTGGGGCAGTTTCAATGGGTTGAATTTCCATTTGCTAAGTCTTGGCAGTTGCCAACAGCAGGGTTCTTGGCAAGGAGGTGGCCCTGTCCAGGCAGTGGCAGGCCAGGGAGGCAGGCACTGGGAGTAGAGAGAACTCTATTAGGTCAGCTAGGTCCCCGGAGATAACTTGCTCCCCAGCTGGACCAGTATTTCCCATACCAGGATTGGACTAACACTATCTAAATTGTGTTTTTTCCTTGGAAAAAGAAATCCCTAATAATATTATTTGGGGGAGATGCTACACATGAAATCCTTTCTCACAGACAATTCATGCTTCTTTATGGCTCTAAATGAAATAAACTTTAATTTAATTTAACTCATTACTTTCTAAGCTTATTTGAGTAAGAAACCCTTTTCCAGTGTGACCCAGAAATAACTTACTGAAGTTAATGTTCCCTGGGACACAGTTTGGGTTGCTCCAAGCTGCAATTAAATTTTATAGGTTGTGTTTTAGGAGCGAGGTGGAACTTGAGATGCAGAGCCCGAGATGCAGAGCCCTGAGTGTGTCTTCCAGCCTGATCTGCATGGTACTACACTAAGTTGTGTATCCTCAGCATTCACGCCATGATACCTTTGGGGTGCTGGGTAGGCTACCACTGAGTATCTGGGGCCATCTGTTAGGGAAGACCCAAAGTGGCACCCTCTGCTAGTGACCACTGAGTTTGCCACACTGATCTGGACAGTTATAGCCCTTGAAGATGCACAGGGACAGGGTTGGGCAACCATTCTCTTAGCAGCCAGTACCCCAAACTCCTTTATCATCTTCACTCCCACTGGAGCTCTTATGTTTTACACTGACATTTAATCCAGTGCCCCTCTGCATCTGTGTGGTTTTTGTAGTCTAACACACATCTTGTTCATCCTCTCTGTTCTGGAGACCAGAAGTCCCACATTAGTTTCGCTAGGCCAATACCAAGCCACATTCCCCACATTCCCTGCAGACACTGGAGGAAAGACTCATTGTTTGCCTTCCCTGGAATGTCCTCAGTTCTCATTTTTCACCTGAAAATAAGCAAAGTCATATAACCCATCTTTGAGGGTTTATGTAAATTACAAAGAGCTTGGAACCAAGTTATTATTGTTTGTGAGGTCTTCAACAATTAGAAACAGTATGGCTTTTAACAACTTGTGAAGATTTCTGAAGAGGTTTTTTTTTTTTTTTTTTTGGTCTTTTTCATTTTTATCGGTACCAGGGATCGAACTCATGACTGCCTGCTTGCAAGGCAGGCGCTTATGCCGCTGAGCTAAATCCCCAGCCCCTTCTGAAGAGTTTTAGTTGACCTACTCTCGTTTGACTTTATAGTGGAATTTTAAAAGTGTTAGTTTTTGTCAAAAGCCAAGGATGAGTGTTTACTCTTTTAATCCACATGTAAATTAAAAAGTATTTTATTTTTTGTACTTGCAATCTTAGCATTCCCTATGAAAACATTGCTATTTATACTGGTTTATTTTTATTCTTTAAAAGTCATTTTGTTTTGCTCTTTTTTATTTTTTGAGACAGGGTCTTACTTTGTAGTTCAGGCTGGCCTTAAGCTCACTTTGTAGCCCAAGCTGGCAGTGAACTCATGAAATCCTCCTGTCTCAGCCTCCTGAGTTCTGGGATTACTGTGGGGCTCACATTTTAACATTTTCAGTCATTTATGACGCCTTTTTCTCTCAACCCACATTAAGTCCTTCAGCAAAGCCTGACCTGCTTCATTTTCAATTTGTACTCAGAATCTGATTGCTTCCCTCATCTGGTTATTATTCTGATCCGAGGCATCACCATCTCCTGCTGGATTATTCCACAGCCTCCTTACTTACTTCTTTGCCTCTGTCCTTGTCATCTCCCCCTCCTGCCCCAGTTCTTTCCCCCAAAACAGCTGAGAACTCATGAAAATTAGCTCTTCTAAATCTTTGGAATGGTTTGAAAGCCTTTATCTCTGTGCTCTTTTTCATCCCTACACTTCTCTGTTGTCATCATCTGCTTCTCTCTCTTCTCTATTGTGTGTCTACCACATAGCAGTGTGATTCTGCCTCAGGGCCCTTGTACTTGCTGTTACTTCTACCTAGACCAGATATGGCAGTGATTCACCCACCCACTTTGTTCAAGTTTCTGCTGAATGAATATAGTGTTGTACTCCATTATACTCCTTTCCAAACCTCCTTGAAAGCTTTTTTAAAAATCATAGTCTTTATCAACATAGTATAAATTTGTTTATTGTCTGTTTGCTCCCTACAGGAATTTTTGCATGTTTGTTTACTGCCATATTCATAGCTTTAACAGAGCTTGGCATATAATAAGGAGGCCCTCAATGAGTATTATTGAAATAATTAATGAACAAATAAGGGCATACATGCATGCATGGATTTAAGATTTTCTTTCACTAATTTTTCGACTAGCATACATACTGATTTTCCTCCTGATTTCCTGATTTATTTTTTCTTTTAATGTTTAGCATTTTCTGAGGACTTTTTGTAGTTCTTCCTTCAGTTTCTTGTTTGTAGTTAACGTTCTTCACCACAGTGAAGAATGACTCATCATACAATATCTGCTGGATTTCTCCTTTATCATTCCACTGGTTTAAATAAAAAAATTAATGAAATCTTTGAAAGGTGCTAAAACCTTTCCATTGATACTAATCACCAAAACTTTTTACCTAAGATAAATTTGAGAGTGTGGAGAAGAGGTTAGTTGGGAAAATTTGTGAAACTGGGCTTGTGGTCAAATAGGTTTTGGGGAAGCTGGGTTGCTTCACCCCTCCTCAGCTGCTCTGGACCTGGCCTCTGGGGTCACTCCTCTCTCTCCTCTCTGTCTGGGGCTGATTTGTACCTGCTCCCTCAGATCAACAGCAATGCAGAGAGATACTGGCTCCATGTCAGCTCCGATGCATCCCGCCTGGCCATCATCTGGAAATATGGTGGCATCTACATGGACACTGATGTCATCTCCATCAGACCCATCCCCGATGAAAACTTTTTAGCTGCACAGTCTTCTAAGGTCTCTAGTAATGGGGTATTTGGGTTCTCACCCCATCACCCCTTCTTGTGGGCATGCATGGAAAATTTTGTGGAACACTACAACTCAGGCATTTGGGGTAACCAAGGCCCCCGTTTGATAACGAGGATGTTAAAGCTATGGTGCAAACTCAGAGACTTCAAAGAGGTTAGTGACCTCAAGTGTCAGAACATGTCCTTCCTGCACCCTCACAGATTTTATCCCATTTCCTATTCACAATGGAAGAGCTACTATGAAGTCTGGGACCCAGAACCAAGCTTCAATAACTCTTACGCTCTGCATCTGTGGAACCACATGAACCAGGGGAAGAGGACTGTGGTTAAAGGAAGTAACACCCTGGCAGAAAATCTCTTCCGCAAGTACTGTCCTACAACTTACAGGTACCTGGTTCAAGGCCCACAAAGGTCAGTGACCAGGGCCACATAACAACAGAGCCAACCCTGGGTTACTGCTGTTAGTGAAACTAGATGCCTCCTAGCTGCCATATTGTCACTGATCTCCACGATCTCCAGGGGTTTGGTGCTTACCCACATGTCAGGATTAGCTGTCCTTGTCTGAAACAGAATCAGCCCAAATAACAGTGGCTATGAAGCATAGAAATGTATTTCTCTCTTATAACAAAGAAGTCTGAAGGCAAGTAATTTAGGGCAGGTACAGTTACAGTGGTCACACAGGACCCAGGTTTGTTTCTGCTTGTTATTCTTAGTGTCCATAGCCCAGGGCCCATGTATATGTTGGACTTTTGTCCCATCATACTGCATTTCAGGCAGTAGGATGAAGGGAGAAAGAAAAGTATACCATTTTTATTTTATAAAGACTGCTTACAAGAATCAAGTGAGTGCAAGTACCACTTTGCCTGGTATCTCGTGGCCAGAATATAGCTGCAAGAGAGGCTGGGTATTGGAACTTTTGCTGCATATTCTAGTCAATACTATAAGAGTGTGTCTAGAACTTGTTTTAACATTGACTGGGAAAGAGAGAGACTTGATTTCTAGGCTTGATTTTGACATTTACATTAGTCTATTTTCTGTTGCTATGAAGAAATATGTGAAAGTGGGTAATTTATAAAGAAATGAGGTTAATTTTGCTCAGTTTTGGAGACTGGAAGTCCACGTTTGGTGGCTCCATCTGTCTGGCCTCTGGTGAGGGCTTCTTGGATGACGGCATCACAATAGCAAGTTGCTGAGACAGGAAGCCAGAGTGGCTCAGGGCCAGGCTTCCTCCTTCCCTAACAATCCATTCTTGTGGGAACTATGAAGGACCCTGTGAGAACTGTACTAGTCCTTTCCAGGATGGACCCCAATAACCTGAACAGCTCCCACTAGGCCTCACTTAACTATTTCACAACCTCTCCACATTGCCACCGTGGAGCCCAAGCCTCCAGCGTATGCAGCATCCAGAGAAACAGTAAGCCATATCGGAACCACAGCAACATTCATTAATGTATCAGTCAATAAATATTCATCCCTTTCTGTGTGCCAAGCACTACTTTAGGGGCAAAGATGCAGTTAGATCAAGCAAGCTTCTTGCCTTAGCCTCAGGAGTGCTGGGATTACAGGTGTGCTCTACCAGGCCTGGCCTTCTGCTTCTAGACTCATAAAAATTTGTCTCCTTTATTTTGAAACATAATGCTGTACACTATATATATTTAAATTAAAAAGTGAAAAGTAAAGTATTTGCCTCCTCTTTCAAAAGATACAAATACTCATCAGCAAAGATTTTTTTGGTACCGGGGATTGAACTCATGACTTTGCACTTGCCAGGCAGGCACTTACACCATTGAGCTAAATCTCCAGCCCTCATCAACTAAGATTTCCTAGAATTTTCCTTTTGGTAATTTAATGAATGGGAAAAATTTTTAGATTTTTCTCTGAATATAAAAATATGATGACTTATTAAAGTATACTTGGCCAGTTTCTTTTAGTCTAATACTTCTCATTTTAAGAATCACTGTTTCCATTGTTATTAATAATTACTCACAAGTTGTATCTCCTGCTTCAGGCTTATGCATTGCTCTGGAATTTCTGACACCCCAGTCAGGTTCTGGAGCCTCCCCAACACCCCATGACCAAGCTCTGGTGTCCCTGGAAGGTGGGCTGGTTTTCAGCTCTTCACAGGTGAGGATTACTAGGGTCAGCCTGCTCAGGACAGCAGGGTCACAGACACTGACCACATCATTGTCATATCTAGAGGAAACCCCACAAGTAGTCCTTGCTGGTAACATCCCTGACTGCTAGGGTTTTGAAGAGCCTGATTAGAAATATTCACAATGTTTCAAAATATATGCGAGTGTCGTGTGATGAGACCTAGTAGGTCAACGCATGTGTCATGTTTCCTGTGTGGGACTGGGATTATACTAATTTACTGTGACAATAATGACAACTAGATGTTTATCAGGACCTTTGCCTGCCAGTAAAGTAAGTTTTTGATTAATGAAAGGTGAGAAATAAATTAGTAAACTACTATGTAATAACTGCGGTTTATATGGTAGAAAACAGTAATTCAAAACATGGGAATGATGTTGGGGAGAATTAGTCAACGTAGTCTTCATGCTAAATTTGGTGAAGTTGAGTTTCACACCTTTAATTGGCAGTACATGTTTTCTTATTCTGTAAAATATCTTTTGTCCATTTTTCTGTTGTTTTCTGTTTTTTATTGATTTGTAACCACTCTTCATGTTAAGAATATAAATAACATTTTTATGTTGCTATTTTTTGTTTGTCCTTTGTTTATTAATTTCACTTATTAGGTTTTCACCATGTGTTTTAAAAATTTATGTAATCTAATGTAGCATTTTTAGTTTATGTCCTTTGGGTTTTATTCCACACTTGCATATTATGCTACTACCCTGGTTATAATATAACTTCTAAACTAAGTGGCAAGGTTAATGTGCTTTCCTGAATGATATTGGACTAAGAATCCTTAACTTGGAGTCTGTGAATAGATTTTGGCAGCCTGTGAATTTATATCTTTATTCTTCCTATTAATTACAAGGCATTTCCTTCAGTTATGAAAGTAGACCACAAACCACAGTTGTACTAGTAGTACATATGACTATGTCACTGTTAATGGCCTGAGATGTATTCTAAGACTATGTCAATGTTAATGGCCTGAGATATTTGTCACTGGTATTTTCATATCACATAGCGGATATCTTGAAATATTGCTTCTGCCCTCACCACTTTTAGAGCAGATGCTAGATCTGGTCATTTAATGAATTCATAAACAAAAATATTGTTATGTTACAAAGTAGTTTTTGAATATTTTCGTAGCTTTATTTCCAATATGTCCATCAAAAGGGAGTTGCCAAAAAGGCTAGACAAGGTGCTGGCCTAATTTATTTCAGGTGCTGCTCCATCACTGCCAGCCAGTGAGTGTCTGGATTTCAGCAGCCAGCCATGCCTTAGGCTGGATTCTTCTCTTGGCATTTGAGTTTATTCTGGCCCTGTATAGGAGACCTGTCTCCTAAGAAAGGCGGTCTCTTCTGCAAGCACACAGACTTCCTCCAAAGCGACCTTCTCCACCGACGGGCTCTGGTGTGGTCTCTGCCGCAGGAAGAGATCCCCGCTTTGCTTCAGCCAACTCTGGACATGGAAATGCTCAGCCCATTTGTTGTCAGATCCTCAGATTTTTAAAGAGAAACCAGTAAGCCACATTTTTACACACAATTGCCCTCTGACTATACGCCTGCCTATCTATACATCAGCACTGTGAAGACTCAGCCACACATCTTGGACCTAAAATCACCTCAGATACCCTGGATTTCCCTTCCAGAAAGTAGAATTGCAACTGGCTTCTGAGGTGTGGTATCAGCAGTTGTAAGCAGGTAACGCTGCTTGCAGTAGAGTCCCCAAGTGTGTCCCACTAGTTCCTGACACTTCTTAAGCTATAGGAAGGGAAATGGGATCCGAGTGGGGTCCAACAGTAGGTGCCTGGCACTGGGCTGAGGAAGAGATTAGGGGCTAGAGGAAAAAGGGAAAACTACAGATGTGGAAAACTCATTCTCCTGTTCTCTTATTTATTTGTTTGCTTCTTTATTGACATTTGCCTTTTTGTGACAGGTCTCACTATGTAGCCCTGGCTGGCCTTGAACTTGCAGTGATCTGCTTGCCTCAGTCTCCCAAGTGCTGGGATTACAAAGGTGCACCACCACACCTGGCAGGCTGTCCTCTCATTTAACAGTTGCACAGCTGTTCAAAGTGGCAGGGATGTCTCCTGGTCTAGGCAAGCAGGGTCAGTCTCCTTTGGCCCATTACTAGGTCATGAACTACCTATGGTCTTCAGTGGTGCTATCAAATCATGTGTGTGCCATGGTGTAAGAGGGTGCTAGGGACCCAGTGCTAAGGGATCTTGTCCCCAATAAGGTCTTGATACCCTTAGAACTAAAACAGTCTTTGGCACATGATAAGCACTCAAAATTTCCCTGTATTGGATGCTGAACCAATCTCTAGCAAGGAAAAGACACAAGGGTTCTGTCTGTGGTAGGTCTTGGTCAGTTCCAGATGAAGTCTTCTGGATAAAGTAGGCCTGGGTTGTTTACTTGGTCACAACAACCTTACAAAAGAGGGCACCTCATTTATTTTATTTATTTATTACATTTTTGGGGGGTAATGGAATCAAACTCAAGATCTTGGGCTTGCCAGGCAGAAGCTGTGCCACTGAGCTAAATCCACAGCCCTGAACACCCCATCTGTAGTATGAAAAAGTTCAGGCTTGGGGAGGTCATGCACATTAACCCATGCAAAGGTACCCTCGGAGCTACTGTTATGATTTACATGTAGAATGTCCACCAAAAGTCTCATGTGTGGTTTTTGATAGGTTATTAGAATATGGGGTGCTATACTTATCAGTGGGTTACTCACCAATGAATCCATAGCTGAATGTGCTTTTAGGAGGCAGGACCTGGTTGGAAGAGGTAGCTCACTGTTGGCATTACTTAGAAGGGTACACCCCCCCTCCCCCCATGCCTGCCTTGGCCATCAGCTTCCTGGTCACCATGATGTGGGCAGCTTTTCCCTGCCTGACTTTCCCACCACACCTTTCTTGCCTTGGCATCAGCTCACTATGAACTGAATCCTCTAAAAACCAAGTCAAAATAAATATCTTTTTAAAGTTGCGGTTGTTAAGTATTTTGTCCTGGTGATGGGAAAGGGACCAACATAACTACTTTCTCTAACTTTCAGGGATTCCTGGGAAGATAATGGGAAGCAAATACTCAAGTGATTTTATAGATATAATGAAGTCTAAAGGACACAGCACTGGTTGCCCAGACTTCAGCAGAGCCTAGGAGATACTTTAGCTAACTTGATTCTCATAACAGCTCTGCTAGGTAGACTTTAGTTTGTTTATTTTGTTTGGTGATTCTGGGGAGTGAACCCAGGGCCTTGCACTGAGTTACAGTCCCTGATCCATTTTTTAAAAAAATTTTGAGTCAGTGTCTTATTAAGTTGTTAAATTGCCCAGAATGGGCTTGAAGTGGTAATCCTCAGTCTTCTAGAGTGCTGGGATTACAGGTGTGTGCCACCATATCCAGCTTATTTTTTACCATTAACAGGTAACGAAATTGAAGCTCAGAGAGGTAAGTGATTTTTTCGGGGTTATACACCTTGGGATAGGCAAAGGTAGATGTATCTTTGTCTCCAAAGCCTAGCTATTTCTCTCTATTCCACTCAGTGAAAGGGCCCTGACTGGGAGAACTGGGAAGGAACAAAACTCTCCATCAGAGTAGATGATTTATAATATCTTTATTTGGTTCTGGTCCCATTCTACCCATTTTTTTAATTTAAAAAATTGTGGTGGGCTGGGGATGCAGCACCAAAAAACAGTGTTAAAATGTATATGAAAATTTGTAATTTTAGCCATTCAAGTGCACAGTGGAGTGGACTTAAGCCCATCTTTATTGGTGTGTAGTCATCGCTGCTCCATCTCTGGAACTTCTTGATCATTTTCAAACTGAAACTTTCTATTAAACAGTCAATTCCTATTTCCCCAGACCTCTGATAACCACTTCCCATCTCTATGATTTCAACTTCTAATTATCCCATGTAAATGGAAACAAATAATGTATTTCCTTTTGTGACTGGGCTTATCCTGTTTAGCATGTGTTTGCTTTCTGTCACCATAACAAAACCTGTGACCATCAGCTTATAAAGAGAAAAGGTTTCAGAGGTTAGCCCCAGTGCTTTGGGCTTGTGGCAGCACAGCATGGCATGACAGGAATGTGTGTCAGAGCCAAGCTGCTTTCCTCCTGGCAGGGAAGTAGATAAGAGGAAAAGGAAGTATTTGGAGTCCTGCTATTTTCAAGGTCATATTCTCCAATGACCTGAAACTCTTACCAGGCCCTACTCTTAAAGTGGGGGCCCCAACCTTTTTAGCACGAAGGATCTGTTCTGTAGAAAAAAATTTTACATGGGTTGGGGATTTTTTACAAAAAATTCCGTTTATTAATATATGTTTCTGATGCATAATAAATAATTACATTTCCCTGCACCTCAGCTCCAACTCAGATCATCAGACATTCGAGTCTCACAACCAGTGTGAAACTGAGGTCAGTCGTGTGCTTAGTTCACGGTAGGGTTCACTTCCTGTGAGAATCTAATCTCTCCTGCCGGCAGGAGGCAGATTTCCAGGGGTAATGAGAGGCCTGGGGGACACCTTTCCTAGAGGTCTGCTCTCACCTCCTGCTGTACAGCCTGCTTGCCGCAGGTCGCATACTGGTACCTGTTGGGACCCCTGTCTTTGTTCCACTACCCTCCAGCAGTTTCATGCTGTGGACTAGGCCTTGACCACATACACCTCGGGGAATACTTACCCAAACCACAGCAGTGTAATATTTTGCTTTGGTCTGAGAGTTCGTGATCTTCCCAAATGGGGTTGAATCCTGGCCTCCAAGGTGAGGGAATTAGGGTTGGGGCCTTTTACTGGTGGTTAGGCCTTGAGGGTGGAACCCTCATCACTAGTACCTTTGTAAAGGAGGCTCCAGAGAGCTATCTAGACCCTTCTGCTCTATGAAGACACAGTGAGCCGCCAGCCAATCTAGCAGGAAACAGACTGGCACCAGACCCTGAATTTCCTGGGGCCCTTGTTTTGGACCTCTTAGCTTTATGATTAAGCGAAATGAATTCCTGTTCATAAGTTACTCAATTTATGTTTAATTTTCCGAGAAACCACCCTTCTGTTTTCCACAATGGCTGTGCCATTTTGTATTTCCACCAGCAAGGAAACGGAAGTTCCAGTTCTTTCACCTCCCTGCTAACCCTAACTCCCAAACATGTCTGCTTTGGTTGGCCCAGGAGATTGTGGTGGAAGGAAGAACAAAACAAAAGTTTTCTTTATTATCAGTCTCAGTAAAGCAAGGATGAAAAGAGATGGGGTCATATTGGAAAAGGAATGAGTGGTTTTTTTCCCTTCTTGTCCAGGTGGTCCCAGGCAAGGCAAAAGAGCAGCGGCTGGGGAAGGTGGGGTTGCTGTCTGTTGAGAGGAGCACACGCCACAGACTTTCTTAACTTGGTTTCCAGTCAAATCCCAGGAAGTTCTCTGCAATTTTGGGCGCATGGCACGGTTGTCTGCCTGGAGGGGACAAGCTACATCTGTCCCAGTTTTTAGCTGGCCAGCGGCTGGATCCCGGCAGTGTGCAGTGTACGCGCATCTGCGTGTGTTTGGGGAGGCGGAGAAGGGGTGGGGAGAGAAGGGGGATGGAAGAGGGGGAGTGGGGAGGGTGGTGGTGGGAGAGATGAGAGCAGGGCCAGCTTCCCTGAGCTTTACCCCGAGAGGCCAGGGAACTATCCCCTTGGATTTTGGGAAGGTGGCGTTCCCTCCTTCCAGATCCGTTACTGAATTAAAAATAGCTGGTCCCAGGGGGCTGGGAAGAGGCTCCACCTCTCGGCGGAGGGGTGGGACGGCCGTCCGGGGAGAGCAGGCGCCAGGCAGCGGAGACCCCGGCCTGGGCTGCAGGCGGAAGCAGCGTCGGGCAGGCTCCGTCCCCAGGCGCGGAGGGCGCGCAGCATCCGCGGGCGCAGGCGAGATCCCGGAACGGCCCGGGCTGTGTGTGCGAGGGAGTGAGCGGGAGGGCGGGCACGGCCGGGCGAGACCAGGAGCCTTCTCGAGCCCTCTGGTCGCCGGCCCCAGCTCCGGCTGACCCCGGGGTGAGCCCAGCTGCTTGGAAAGCTATGATAGGAATTCAGCCTGGGCGGGAGCGGGAGGGCAGCTGGGTGCGGCGGCGGTTCGGCCCGGGCGGCGGGAGGTTAAACATTGGCGGCTGCAGCCTGCGGAGACCGCGCTGCCAGTGGCTCTGCCTCCCCACGCGCGGCCCTGAGCCCGGCTCTCTCGGGGGCCCGGGTGGCGGCGAGCTCTGCGCGATGGAGGCGCGGAGCAGGATCACTGATCCCCCAAGGCTGGTTTCTAGGGAGGATGGCCTCGGAGTTTTACTTTTTGAAACAACTGATCTGGAGGGCTTAATGATCCGAATTCTGTAGGTAAAAGGTGAGCTTTTAGCAATAAGATTATTTTTCAACAAACCCGTTGGCATCTTTAGTTCCTCCACGAGCCAGTCATGAACTGAGTTGAGTAAGAGGCCACGACAGTGTTTTCAGTTTGAAGTGACTGTAGCTAACAGTCCGCAGAAGACTTGCTGAGGCTACAGGGCAAAGGCCTAGGAGACAGGAGGATATTCCTTGCTTGTCTTCTGGAAGTCCTTTTCTAACGGGAATTTGGAGAGAGGCCCAGAGAGTGGGTGGTGTTCTGAGCTCCCTGCCCATGTGCTGGCTGCAGACACAGTGCATGGTCTGTCTTCCTTTTGGTCATGGTCTCTCTCCCTCGTGGTCCCTGCCACCTCCCGCATGCCTGCCGGAGCTGGAGCCAATGACTGGCCTCTGAGAAGCAGGCTGCTTAGAGAAGGCTGGTCCTGAGGTCAGGTAGCTGTCTGTCTTTCAGCATCCGGAGCTAGGGACATCTTCATCAGAAATATTTGGGCATATCATGTGGATGGATAAATGGTCCTATCAAGTTGTTTACCTCAGGTTGAAAACACACTTGTTTGTGCAGAGCACCAGTGGATTCTAATATAGACCTGAAATTTATTCAAAAGATTTGTGGTTCAACTCGGACTGGAGCAGAGAAAGGGACAACTTGGCGGGCTGTTTTGAATTTCTTACAGGCAGGCTGGGTTCTGGCCAGCAATACTCACTGTCCTTGATGCCACCTCTCACGTGGCCTGGCAACTCCTGTCAAGGGTTTGGCCCAAACCTGAAGATGGAGAAAGTGTACCAGAAAGCAACGATTCCTTCATGAAAAGAAAAATTAGCATTTCTAGGAAAGTTTTCTTTCAGATGAGAAAAAAGCCTGTTATTTTTGACAGTTCTGTTGCTGGTAAGATAGATCATGTTGGCATCAAAAAAAAAAAAAACCTCCTCTGAAATATTTCAAAGGACATCAATCATGTACTCACTGCCAAGAAGATCCTTTTGTGGTAGAACCTGACTTTAAGCTTTTGACAAAAATGTGAATGTTGTGCTTTAAAATGATCTTGGGACTGGAAATGCAGCTCAGTGGTAGAGCTCATGCTTAACGTGTGTAAGGCCCGGGGGTTGATCCCACACATCCAGAAATAAACAAATAAAAATAAAAGTATCTGCTTAAACATGCTAGGAATAGATCAGCTGCAAGAGAGAGCTCTGTGGCTGATGAAATATAGGTCTCTCTTGATGCTTGTATGCTCAGAGAATGGGTGTAACAGCCCCCATGAGAGAAAGGGAAGAACAGAAAGGGAGAGGGACTCTTCTTTGAAAAATAACAGAATCCAAGGTCAAGTCCAAGGATTGTAACAGTTCTGCTCCAGGTGAGTCCCTGGGTCCTTGTCGTCTCCGTCAAGGGTTCCAGTGCTCCCTTGCCTACGGTGTGTTTGCAAACTGGGAAGGTTTCCTTGGCAGCCACAACAGTTAGCACTAATGACATGCCTGAGTTCCCTGGGGCAGGCACTGTGAAATGAGCTTGGAAACCAGGGGCAGATTGGTAAATGATTGTCTGACAGCCATTTAGGAGCTTGGTACTGCCAGGTTCTCCTCTTGGCTGCATTCTTGAGGAAGAAAAGAGACAGGTTTTGTTGTTGTCTAGCTGTCAGTTTAAATGTTAAAAGATCAGGTATTTGGTCAAGCTTGGGCAAGTTATCTTTGATGGTGGAAGCGGGATCAGGCTTCAGGAGAACTCTAAAGTCTCCAGGAATTGTTTCATAGTCGAATGGCTACATTGTGAGGTGCTGAACACCCAACACTGAGTGTGCAAAGCAAGGGCAGTAGATGTTTCTTTTTTTAATATTGGGTGTGGGATTGCCACAAGCAGGAATCAACCTTTTAGCAACAAAGCAAGTTTGAAATGTTAGCACTAGTATTCTTTTGGGCCACGAATTCCTGATATTGGACTATGATTGGAAAGTTTCCTGGGATCCCATCAAAACTTGTAGAGGCAGGTAACATAGCTTCAGATTTCCTGATGACAGTGAATCATCTTTTCCTTGTGTCTCTAATCCCCGATGTGGGAGCAGTGGTGTGCTGATAATTCAGTTTGGAGAAAGCCTGTGTCCTTGCCTCTGGGGTGTGTGGTTTCCAGGTAATCTGCAGCACTCTAATTGGCTTTGTCTTCTGTCTGTCCTAACCAGAAAGCAAGCTGTGGAAGTGAGTGTGGCCAGCCAAACCTGCTGAAATTTTCCAGCACTGGCCCTGTTGTGATTTGCTGTAAACTCTTCAGTCCTTGCATTTTGGTTGAGACATCCCAGGTACTGTTGTTTTTCATAAATAATTTGTATATCATCATCACTATCTGCCATTATCACCACCACCCCACTGGGAGGTAGTTTTGCATAATCCAAAAACTTTGGAATCAGTCCTTGTTCAGATCTTGGCTCCTTTACTTATGTAGTTCCCAAGTGACTTGGGGCACATACCTTAGCTTTGTTGCGCTTCAGTTGCTACATCTGTCAGATGAGGCAAACCATCGCTCTTTACAAAACTATAAGTGGGGTAGAAATAGCATTTTTAAAGGTTGGTACAGTGCCTGGCACATGTTCTCATCATATCATCATCTTCAGATGTCCACAGCTCTGTTTTACCTTTTTAAAAAAATAGTACATATTAGACACACAGAATAGTGGGTTTCATTTTGGCATGTTCATACACGCATGTCATTAATGTGATCATTCTTTCCTCATTCCTCTTACCCCTTCCTCGATCCCCTTCCTCTTTGCCAATAGTCTCAACTTCTACTTTCCTGTCATCTCTCTCTATTTAAACAGTTTTCTAGATTCCTTATATGAGAAAAAACATGATATTTCACTTTCCGCTGGCTTATTTAACTTAGCACAATGGTCTACCCATTTTTCTGCAAATGACATGATTTCATTGTTCTTTTTATAGTTGAATAACATTCCGTTTTGGATATATGTCATATTTTCTTTGTCTGTTCATCTGTTGATGAACATCCTGGATGTTTCCATAGCTTTCCGCTTTCCCTTTTAATCCCAGGACTCTAGCACTTGTGAGAATTACCCTCAGTGTACAGCAAGATCAGTGACACTTTTGGCCTTGAAGGAAACCTTGGGAACTGAGACCTCTAACTCAGAATTCTGGGTAAGTGGGAGCACATACCTTGCATGTTTAGAGCAGAGTGTGAGTGGGAGAGAAAGCAAGTGACAACACTGAAACCATTATTTTAACAGGCATTGTGGGCGTGTCTGAACCCACCCACCAGGGTCCCCATATGCTGAGCTTTTATCAGTAGACAGTGGAATTAGTCTTCGAATGCAGATGGTCAACAAAACAAGCATTTCACTGTGTTCAAATTGCATTTTTCCTTCATGGAGTCCAAATGAAGAATTCTTAGCTCCTTTTTTACTCTTAACCCTAGTTCTTAGTGGTTCATAGCTTCATCCCTTTAAAAACTCCAGGAAAATAGAATTTTGAGGCAGATATTCTAAAATTTTGACACTTTTGCTCAGTTCATTAATACTCTGAGCTGTAGGAAATAGGCCAGGGACTGGGATATGAATATTATGGTGTAGCCTTGGGAACGTTTAAGAGCTGGGGGAGTGGAGGGGAGGAAAGACTCCAAAGTGTGCTAGCAAGATGGGCGTGGTAATCCCGCCACTCAGGAGGCCAAGGCAGGAGGATTGGTGTGAGTCTGAGGCCAACCTCAAGTGTATAATAACTTCAAGGCCATAATGAGACCCTGTCCCAAGAAAAGAAAGAAAGAAAGGGAAGTGTGCTGGTCCTGTTCCTTGGTGCTCCCACAACACCTTCTGGCTTCTGCCTGTTACACTCTGCAGGATGATTTCTGAAGTTGCTCTCCTATGTGGCACATTTTATGTGTTTAATGTTACTTTCCTGGACCTAATGAAACTTGGTTTTTACAATTTATGGCATAATCACCACAGAAGGGTTGGGTCTAAATATCCAAAATACAGAAGGGGCAGAGGGAAAGAGATTTAGGGGCTGGCTGGGACTCAGGCTAGTAGTACCCTGTGGTAGCTGAAACTATAAGTGTGACTTAACCTCAGGAGAATATGCAGGGAGAAGTGGTTGTGGGTGAACCATAGAATCTCAGGGGTAATGATTCCCCTGCCTTACTTGAAAAGAGAAAATACAGTCACTGTTGAAGGAGGAGGCTGTGAGGAGTATCCAGAGAGTAGGAGGCCAGCCAAGGGAGCTGGTGATGGAGAATTCTTATCTTTCTTATTAGAGGGAGTATTGCTGGCAAACCTCTGAGGCTAAAGCTTAAATAGTTAAACATTGAAGTTCTCAGGTGAGCTCGTGATCTGTGGGAGGAAAGGAGGCTGGTGTCTTATTACTCCTGCTCACAGCATGCCTGGTAACCTGCTGTTGCTCTGATGCACAGCTTGTTGTGAGGCATTGTCTCTGAGGCTCCCGTGGTGTGGTGGCAGCTTGGAGTTAAGAATGGTGAGTATGAGACAGGGATTATTTTTCATAATTGGACACATTAGGCCAATTAGAAATGTGTTTGTGTACTGGTTACTTTCCTGTTCCTGGGACAAAATACCTGAAACCCACAGTTTAAGGAGGAGAGGCTTATTTTGGCTTATGATTTTAGAGGTTTTAATCCATGGTTAGCTGGTTCCACTGCAGAAATAGCCAAGTGGGAAGGAATGGCGGAGGAAAACGGCATCCTCCAAGGAGCCCCACCTCTTGGCACCATGTTGAGCCATGAACTCCAATGGATTGATCTCCTGATGCATATAGCACCCCTATGATCCAATAGCCTTCCGGCCCCACCATTGAACATGTGAGTGCTTTGGCGGACATTTCAGATCTGACCCATTACAGCTGGTCTCCTCATGGTGCTTATGTCGGGATGGTTTTGTTTCTGGAGGACATGTTGGGGCAAGAATGTCTGAGAAAGAAAGGAGGAAGCTGGAACTGCAAGGGTATGCCCATGGATCCTGTGAGCAGTCTTAAGAGCAGGCTAAGAGGTTTGCACTTGGTACTGTGGCTACGAGGAGACACACTGAACTCCAGAGTGAGGAGCATAATACGCGTGGGTGGCCTTAATGCTGGTGCGTATCTGGGCCCAAGTAGACACACTTTAAATGAGGGGGGAGGAGTCAATGAATAAATTGGGAGTTTGAAGGGGAAATGTGTGATACTCTGATCAAAGCAAGGATTTAGGAAGAGTAACCCCAAGCATAAATGTTTAGTTCAAAGTCCACAAGCCTTGGATGCATATATAACTATACTTTCACTCTGGTCCCTGTAGCTGCAACCAGCCATTTAACCCCTCTGAACAGCAGCTTTCTTGTTTGGGAATGGAAATAATAAAACTTCACCTACTGGCAGCCTGTACTTGGCATCTGCATGTAGCACTTCTGATGTGTCAGCAGCACTACTCACCTCTCCTACTTTTCATGGTGCCCCGTGAAGTCGGCAGCACTGGCTTGTCGCTGTCTTTCACAGAGGAAGACGGAGCTCAGCAAGGCCGTGGTCTTCCTGGGGCCCTCGCCCAAGTTGTTATCTCCCAGCACTACCCTGTTCTTCACTACCTTCCTCCCTCATGAGCTCGGTGGTCTGCCTTCCCTGGCTTTTGCTTGCACCTGAGTATCTGAATCACATAACCTAGAAAAACCTGATTAAATGTGGGTAGCATGTATCTCTTGCTGTCTCCGTCAGATTCTCAGTTCCTTGAGGGCAGAAATTTGTGTTTATTTTTAAAAACATAATAAAAGCAATAGATGATGGTGATGATGGGAAAAACACTGAATAGTACAAAGAGGTGGAAAAGGAGTAGTAGAAGTCACCCAGCCTCCACTTCCATTTTCTAGAGGTGTGCGTTGCTGGGAACTTTAAATCTCTCTTTCCAGAAATGGTCAGTGCCTGTGAAATCATAGATATGAGTGAATCATATGTAGGAGTAACAAATGAGTATAATTAATATAACAGATACAAATCATCTGTATTATCACTGATCTCTATGAGATCTATCTGTCCAGATATCTTCCATCTGTTCATTGATTTATTCCCATTTCACACTCACATTTCTCTTTTTTTGGTACTCGGGATCGAACTCATGACCATACACTTGCCTGGCAGGCACTTATGCCGCTGAGCTAAATCCTCGGCAACACTCACATTTCTCTCTGCTTTCATGGACAACCATTGTAATGTGACATATGTATATGATTTTGGGGGAGTTTGGATTATATTAGTACTCATGGGGCGATCAAAATATATAGTTTAAATCGGGTGGTCTCTTTCCATCCCGCTCTCTGTCTGTGGCTGTCTCACCCAGTCCTTGTGAGAGGGTAACGCTGGGAACCCTGAAGCTAAGCCTTCTAGTAGCTATTCTGAGTCCCAAATTGAAACACTCAGCCATTTCCCAGAATGGCACCCAGCGCTGCCCTCCCTGCAGCGATATGGCAAGCGCCTGCCCTGGGATCACCCCTCAAGTGTCATCTGGTGTGTGGAAGGACTCCTGCTGAACAAAACCTCACACTGTCCCAGTAATCGACAGCCCAGTCCACCACTGGCTTCACGCACCTCTGCCGTTTCTCCCAGAGTCCCCTGGAGCCCTCAGTGTTCTCCTTGTGTCAGCCTTCAGGCCGGGGAGAAAGCCCAGACTGTTCTACTCCCTTTTCTGCCTTGTGGTCTGATTCTTTAATTTGCCGTAGCTTTTAATGTTCCTCGGTTTCCTTCTTGAGGATCTACTTCTCTATTTTTTCTTTCTTCCTCAAGTTGTTACTTGCCAGTGAAGGTTCTGAATTTTGGAGAGACTGAATTGCTATTCCTCACCACTCTGCCACCTTTGTACATTCTGTTTTCACCACTTTCTGAAGCAGTTCTGAAAGGTTTCTTTTGTGAGTGCCTTTATGAAATCTGGTAAAAAAGAAAATTCAGTGAGGACTACTGCTGAGCACCATTTAGTGGGAAGGCAGGCTCGTAAAACCTTTATAGTGTGTCTTCAGCCTCTTCTTTCACTGGATCCAGCACTGCTGACTTCTGTCTCTTTCTCAAGTTCAAAATGATCATGAGAGGTAAACGTTGAATCAGTTCAGGACATCAAGGCAACCACAATACACAACTCTAAAGATATTCATGTAAGAAGGCTTCTAGTGCTGCTTCAGAAAGTAGAAAGAACGATGGGGTAAGTGTGTTTGAAGTAAGAGAGTATTTGAGGGAGTTTGATGGCAATGTGTATTTTACTATAATAATTAAACAAATTTACTATAATTAAAAAGGAAAAAACTTCAAATGTGGACCACATTTTTTGATCACAATTTGTATTATTTCAGTAAAACAAAAATGAAAGCGTTATGTGTCTGTTTATACAAATGAGAGGATTATTCTATATCAGTACCTATAATGCTGTCTTATTCTTATCAATAGCTGTGTAGTCCTTTGCTGTGTGGAAATACCACTTGCCTCCCCCTTTTGTACCTTTCTTTCTTATATTGTTTTTATAAGCAAACTACAATGACAGTTTTACACCTATGGGTTTCTTTACGGTAATCGTATTTCCTTTTTTTTTAGAACCTATTTTTAAAATTGGTCAAATGATAGTAGTGCTTGAGCTCAAACCCAGGGTTTTGCACATGTTGGGTAAGTGCTCTGCTATTGAAGTACATCCTCAACTAATACTGTTTATTTTAAATTTCCTTGATATTGTCAATTTACTGTTCAAAGAGAGAGAATAATTTCTATGCTTTCCAAGAAGATGGAGATTGGAATCTAAGTCTTTTGGCAACAAATCAGAACTCTTCTCTAACCTGTTAGGCTTTGTTGTTTTTCTCGAGCCTATAGGCAGGGAGGTAGAGGTAGAGCCTATAGCTCAGAGGTAGAGTGCTCACCTAGCATATATGAGGTTCTGGCTTCCATCCTCAACACATACAAACACAAAACCTCATTGCAAGCTGAGCACAATCCATGCAGACATGGCTGGTTCTTAAGCTCCCTTGGCAGGGGTGGACATCTTTTCTTTACATTCCACTGGACAGAACTTAGTCACATGATTCTATCTCATTGCAGAGGAAACTGGGAAATGTAGTCCACCTATGTTCTACTAGAATCTTATGATTATTGGGGAAGGCATGGATAGGATAGACACTAGAGGGGTATTCTGACAGGTAAATTTAGGGTTGCAGGAGGACCCACTTACACATTTGACAGCTCCCCCTCATGAAGGGGGAGACAGTCCTGCAGGGGACCTGGAAGGGCTTTCCTCTAGACTGAGTGCTTTGCCTGCTTCCTTCCTCACCTGCTAAGTGAGTTCTCTGAACCCCATATAAATTACAGAAAGATTAAAGGAGAAGGACTTACTCAAAACAGAGAGTTCAAATCCATGTCTGTGTGACTGCAAAACCTGACTCTTCCTTTCCACAGCACTGGCCGTGGTAGTGCATACTGCAAATGCTGTAACTGCTACCTTGCCCTTCTTAGGGTGTATAGTCCATGCAGTCACATGTACCCAGCCTAACTTGGACTTTCCTCTCATTTTCCAGGCCCTCTTTCAGCTCCTTGGCCAGCTGCCGTGGCCTTGGTGGCGTTCCACTCCGGTGGTCAGCCCAGGGCTTCTCCCACCCATGCAATCCACAGCTGCCACTGCTGAGGGCTTCAGCAGCCCACTCTTTGAGACCTATACCCTCCCCACCTTCAAGTTCCAGCCTCGCTGTGAGAGCATAGACTGGAGGCGTATTAGTGCTCTGGATGTGGACCGTGTGGCTCAGGAACTGGATGTGGCCACTCTGCAGGAGAACATCACTGGTGTCACCTTTTGCAACTTGAACCAGGAGGTGTGCAGCCGCTGTGGGCAACCTGTGGACCCAGTGCTGCTCAAGGTGCTGCGCCTGGCACAGCTTATCATTGAGTACCTGCTACACTGCCAGGATTGCCTGAGTGCCAGTGTTGCCCAGCTAGAGGCACGGCTGCAGGCCAGCCTGGGCCAGCAGAAGCGTGGCCAGCAGGAGTTGGGCCGCCAGGCTGATGAGCTCAAGGGTGTACGGGAGGAGAGTCGCCGGCGTCGAAAGATGATCAGCACCCTCCAGCAGCTGCTGATGCAGACAGGTGCCCACAACTACCATGCGGTGAGCAGTCTCTGCAGGGTGGGGAGACTAGAGGGGCATGCACCCCAGCTAGCAGGCCACGTGGCAGGGTACCTGGTCAGCACTACCCTGAGCCACTCACAAGGATGCTCTGGGCCCTTCTTACTGGTTAGGAGTAGGTTTTAAAGATGCATGAGGCCAGAGAACCTGAGAGGTGTGATCAGGCTCACTCTGTGTGTGTGCATGTGTGTGCACATTTGTGTGTAAGACTGAAGCTATATATGTAAGAATGTGTGTTTGTACTTACAGAGGATGTGTGTAGGGACTTATGTGAATGAGGTAAATATAGTATATATGCCTAAGAATGTATTTATAGAAGGTGTGCCTGTGTGTGTGTGTATGTGTGTGGGTGTGTTTGTGAGAATGAGTGTATGTTGAGGCAATAGGGGAGCCAAGCTCATTTTGGAAAAGTGACTACTGTTCAAATGAGTGAAGGTTCATTATTCAGAGTAGTATTGGAGTCTATCTCCATAGAAAGCGTGGATTGTTATTATGGGTCAGATCTCAAAAATCTCAAATTCAGAGCTGGAGCTTTTGAAAGGCGATTGGATTCTCAGGGCACTGACTTGTGCTGTGAGGAGGTGGGACCTGGGTGGCAGAGGTGGGTCACTGGGGCTGTGACCTGGGAGGGTGCATTCTTGTCTAGCTCCTCCCTCCTCCTTCTGCTTCCTGGCTACCATGGGTTGAGCAGAATGTCTCTGCCAGTTCCCTTCCACCATGGTTTTTTCCACTCTGGAGCCAGCCACCTATAAGCCCAAATAAAACTTTTTTCTTCTACATTGTGGGAGTCAGGTATTTTGTCCCAGCAATGAAAAAGTGACTAATACAGTTGAGAACATTTGTCCTTTAATAAACTGTCATGGTTGCCAAGCCTTGTGCCAGGCCCTGAGGCTGTAAGCACAAGTCATATTGCTTTACGTTGTCAGGAGACTTACAATTTGGTGACGAATGGACAATCTGTTTCTTGTCATAAAACTTCTGACATCAGATGTGTGGATTTCCCCCTCTACTCTTAACCAATTCTTCAAAATCAATGAGTGTCTTTCAATTTAATTCCACCTTGACACTATTTACTTAGAGACAGTATCAGGTCCCACGTAAGACTGGTTCACCTTCAGTGGCCAGTTGGAAGCCCTGGGTCTTCTGTACTGCTGCATCTGATATGACTCAGCTCAGAGGGAGGATGGTGAGGGATTAAAAAAAGACAGGAATCAATATAGAAAAGCTGAGATCAGGTGGAACTCTCTCTTGATGGCAGAAATGAACTGCCCAGCACTCACAGTGTATTTATTTATACAGTCAGTGTATGAATAAGTCCATGCAGAGTTAAGAGGAGGGTAGAACCTGGGACAGGAAGAAAATCTAATCTATTAGCAAAACAGTCTGCATGACTTGGTGGCTTCATGGGAAACAATTGGTGGCTTCACAGGAACAAGAGAAACCTCTGTGTTATCTCAAAGGAAGGTCAAGTCCCTGTGCATCAGTTCCTTGAGCTGTGCACGCTTCTCATGGGGCCTTGCCACACTTGTGAGAGGCATGGCTTTGTCCTAGATATCCAAGTACAAGTACAGAGACCTTTACTCCCAAAGCTGTTCTCTGACTACCAGTAATAATAGAAGTTTTCCAAGATACAGTTTTGAGTTGGTAATTTGCTAGACTAGCTCACAGAACTCAGCAAGACACTTTGTTCCTGGCTTATTACAAAGGCTGCATCTCGGAAAAATAAAGTAGAAGGCACACACATGGCAAAGTACGTGGGCCCCAACACTTCGGTGTGTTCACCAACTTCAGTGTGTTCACCAGCACGGACGTTCTCAGAATCCCACTGCATGCTCTGCCGTACATGCTCGATTGGTTAAGTCAGTGGTGACTGTGATTAAGTCAGTATCTGTGCCTGTCTCCTCCCACAGCTCAGGTGGTAGGATTTTGAGTTCTGTCCCTCAATCCTACCTTGATCTTTCTGATGATCAGCTTCTATTCTAAAACCATCCAGGGTGTCTCAGCCGCCATCCACCTAAGTATACAAAAGGCAGTTTGTCACCACTGAGAGTCCAAGGAGCCCAGAAGATCTGGTGTCAAGAACCATGTACTAAGACCAAAGAGAAAACTACAAAAGAAGCTGTTGTTCTTATTGCTCAGGAAATTGCCAGGGTTTTAGGAGCTCTGTCAGGAGCCAGGGATGAAGGCCAAATATATACTTGATTATATCTCAACATTGCAGGGGGATAAAGGAATCCTAATGATGCGGCATTAGTCCATAAAATGATAATTGATAGATTGTTTGTGATTTAAAAGTCAGAACCTCTTCAGTAGTTAGTGACAAAACAGCAGCCTAAGGCTGAGTGTGGTGGCACACACCTGTCATCCCATCACTGGGAGGCTGACTCAGGAAAATCATGAGTTCGAGGCCAGACTGGGCCTCAAAGTGAGATCAAGGTCAGTCTGAACTGCATAGTGAAGCCCTGTCTCACAAAAGACAAAAAACAAAACAAAACAAAACAACCCCAGCAGCCTAACCTGGTTAATGCCAGGAGGAAATTTACTGATCAACTTAACTAAAAAGTCCAGGGAATATGGGGAACTCTGGTTTGGCTTGTCAGATGAAGTCAATCTAGCTTCTCTTTGCTGTGTCCATTCGGATCAGGGTTTGACTGTGAGTGACAGAAAAGCTCAGATCATTTATTTAAACCAGATAGAAGTTTATTTCTGTCTAACAAAGTCTGTATGTAAGCAATCCAGGGCTGGTGTGTAATGGCACAGTGATTCGGGCCACAATTCTTTATGTGTGGCTTTCCTAGTCTTATCATATGGCTTCTACTTCATTACTAAGATGGCTGCCTGAGTTTCAGCTCTCAGGGCCCCACTGAGTAGGAGGAGAAGGTGAGAAATGCGTCACTCTTTATAGAATTCCCTTTTACTCTGATAGAGTAGCAAAAGTGTGCTGAGCTGAACTCTGAAGTTTGTGAAAAGATGAGAGGATGGACAGACTGCATCTGCAGCGCCTTGGGAGTGAGGTAGAATTATAGACACTGTTTATTTGCTGTCCTCTGCCTGTGGTGTTCTGAACCCTGGGGGGAAACCTAGGCCTTTTTTGGGGGTTGTAGTGCTAGGGATAGAATCCAGAGCCTTGCTCATGCTAGGCAGGTGCTTGAGTTGAGATTGGTATTTTTAAATAACAATTTTTATTATGGAAACTGAAGCGTGTCCAGAAGTAGAGAGGACAGAAACACTGAACCTTCATCTACACAATGCCCAGCTGTTCTTGACTCATGGCCAGTGATGTGGCATCTATGTCCCTGCCCACTTTCCTGATTCCCAGCTTGGCTTGAAGCACATCAGCCCCGTATTGTGCCGGTAACATTTCAGTCTGTATCTCTAAAAGGCAAGGATTCCCTCTTTGCAACATGAACACCACCGTCATCCTACCCTGCAAAACCAACAGAAATTCCTTAGTACCATCAAATAGCCAGTGTTTGTAATTTCCCAGGGCAGTGATGGTATTTTCAACTGACATCACTACCTTACTCAATAAACCATATTTTAAATCTTTTTCTTTTCTTTTTTTATGTGGTGTCGAAGATTGTACCCCAGGCCTTGCCCGTGCTAATCATGTACTTTACCTCTGAGCTATATCCCCAACCCTTCAAATTCTTTGTTTTTGAAGCAGTCCAGGACTTCAAAAGGAAAGGGAGTTTCAATAAAGGGGAAATCCCAGGCTGACACCTTATTGCTTCTTCTCTGTGTAGTGCCCCTTGTGTGACAAGACATTCATGAATGCCACCTTTCTCCGGAGCCACATTCAGCGTAGGCATGCGGGCGTGGCAGAAGCTGGTGAGTCCAGGCAGCAGCTGGGGACTGTGGAAAGCCTGGGGCTTGGGCAGTGGGCAGGGCGGTACACGAACGTGTACCCAAGTCTGCCCTCATCATCTAGTTGAGGCTGGGGCGATCCCACCATTCACCAAAGGGGATCCCGGGTCGGGCTGGGAAAGTCTTGATCACTTGTGCAGAGAAGAAGGAAGGTTCCAGTCCTAGTGTTGTCTGTTTCTACATGCAGCCTCAGCCAGTTCTTTGTTTCTGAATTTCTGTGACTTTCATTGTGGATGTGATAGTCAGATGGAGGAACTTTGAAGGGCCCTTACCTCCCAGCCTTCTGTGACCTGCAGTTCCCTGCAGCGAGCTATGAATAAGCTTAAATGGGGTAAATGAGCAGTCAAACCAGTTCTTTGGCTTTTCTATGTACCTGAGTTTATCTAATTTAATCACTTTGTTTAATTTTACCACTTCAAATTCTAACATGAGTAGCAAGGCTATATGTTGTCCCCACAAAGACATTTTCATACTTGATTTCTACTTTTAGATTCAACAGAACTGTCTATAAGACAAAATAAATATATAAAAAGTTTAAAGAACCTTTTTTCTATTTTCCATCATTTCAGTTCCATTTTCAAAAGAGTTTTAAAACAGTATCATTTGCCTAGTTACTATGTATTCTATATATCTAATTCTTGTTGAATCTGCACTGGGGGCTAAAGAGAAATAAATTTTCCATGTCTTAACTACTTGTTTTCTAACAAGTATATATTCTGATGGAGAAGTGACATTAGGCTTTCTAATGTCTTTAAGCCATCTTTGAAAATGTGATTTTTAATGGCCAAATAATATTCCACCACATGATGATCATAATTTGTGTTATAATGTCTTCCCACTGAATATACATATTGGTTACTCAGAATTTTTCCTATTACACAGCACAAGATGATCAGCACTCTCCTATGTAAACCTTTGTGCCTGGTTCTTAATATTTCCTTAATGCAGGAGAGCAAAAATGTGCTAAAAAGTCATTCAGGTTCCCAGCTAGCTGGTTTCTCTTTCCTATTCTAGAGGACCTGAAATCACTTTTTTCAACCAAAATAATTTCCATCTACCTAAACATTTCCAAAAAGTCTAAATCAAGAAAAGCCACATCTTTTTTTTTTTTTTTAAATCAAAGAAAGCTTTAGAGTTTTAATAACAGTACCATCTCTCTGGAAATTACTTGTACTTTAAAAACTAACAAGCATTTAAGAATAATTGATGTCTTTTTCATTGACCCTTAACTAACTCTTGCTTCATCTGTATGTAGCTTAGCTTTGTAAGTCATTGTGAATTATTTTTGACATAGAAAACTTGAAGTAATATTAAGAAAAGATGTTAAGGTTTTCATCACAAAAATGAGGTAATTAGCTAGATTTAATAGTGACACAGTGTGTAAGTTTAATCATTCTACAGTGTGTGTATCTACATTGCAGATGTATAAATGTATAAATATATACAGTTTTGTTTGCCAGTTAAAAAAACCACTAACCAGGCATGATGGCACATACCTGTTATCCCAGCTCTCTGGGAGGATGAGGCAGGAGGATCACAAGTTTAAGCCCAGCCTGGGCAACTTAGCTGCTTATTGAGATCCTGACTCAAAATAAAAAAGATGAGAGTTGAGGATATAGCTCAGTACAAAGATCCTGGGTTCAATCTTTAGTAGCATGCAATTTTTTTTTAAAGATTAAAGTATACACCTAAAATAACCTTGGTTAGAATGCTTCTTCTGTGCCCCTATTTTTTCATTCAACAGTTAACACTGTGCATGTAAATTATGCTGCATTATTTTAAAAGGTGACCTGAAAACTATTTTCATTACTTAACTTCCTCTCTCTTGCAGTGCTGTGTAGGTATGTACCTTGCATTAAAGGTTGGCATATGCGCTCTGTTTAGTATCCTGTTTCTGTTACTCTAGTCATTTTGCATTTCCATGTGTCGGTACTTTCAAAATACTTTTTTAAATGACAGGGCAATAACAGTTCACATTTATTGAACTGTCATGCCAGGCACTGTGCTGATCACTTAGTATTGATACATTTCATCCTCAAAAAACCCCTCTGAGTTGGGCGCTGTCAAGATCTTTGTTTTGCAGTTTGGGGAACAGAGGAACAGGGAGCTGAGTCTTTTGCCTGCCATCAACAAACTGCGTGGGAAGGCTTGTCTCAGACTGAGGTGTGAGTGCAGCCATGAGAAACTTACACTCCACTGCTGTGTACTTTCTCTTGCCACGGCCTCCAGGAAAGCAGAAGCAGCAGGAACAGCCAGCTGAGGAGCTGCTGGAGGAGCTGAGAGCCAAGCTGAAGTGGACCCAAGAGGAGCTGGAAGCCCAGAGGGAGGCTGAGAAGCGGCGCCGGCTCCAGGTGGGTGTGGAGGGGCAGCGTCAGAGACGCTCAGGGCTCCCCAGAGCCTCCGTTCACACGGATCCCACAGGGCTTGAGTTCCAGCTGGTTTCCCAGAGCGGGGAGCTAGAGCTACAGTGCCACCTTCTTGGATGTGGCAAATAATTTTAGGGAGTCTGGGAAGGAAAATTAAATTATGTTGCTGAAACTATGTGATCCAAAGTGGAGCAGAGAGTTGCAGTTTCTTGTGTTAGTCAAAACTCATTGAAAGCATTTGAACTTGAATTTTATCTTCTTATACTGCTTTGTCAGTTGGCTTTTTGAGGACAAAGTATGGGTCTGATTGTGAAAGTGCCAGAACCGAGACTGGAGGAAATGTCCAGTAAATGTTTATAGAAGGAAAATACATGAACTTGCCCTGCTCGTTCATGATCTCAGCATGCACCTGTTGAGCACCAGCTGCGCCAGGCATTGTGCACAATAAGGAAAGAGAAGACAAGTCCTTATTTTCAAGGGACTTTTTGGTTTGGATAAGATGGGCCACTCCAAGGCCAAGCAATCAGGACTGTGGGGTGAATGTTTCAGAGTCTCCATTGTAACACGTGAGAGGGGGCTATAGCAGGTCTTCAGCAAATATTTGCTCTAATGTGGAATTAATGATCCAATTGTTTCTCACCTTTTTTTTTTGAAGGAAGCAGAGATTACTCATCAGAGGGAAATAGAAGTGAAGAAAGAATTTGATGAATGGAGAGAAAAAGAGCGGACCAAGCTTTATGGAGAAATAGACAAGCTAAAACAATCACTTTGGGATGAATTTAAAGCTGTTGCCAATCAGAACTCTACACTAGCTGAGGTGCTCAACATAAAAAGCTTTTCAAAGTGTTTCCTTCTGTTGCAAACCTACCTATTTGTTTTCAAAATTCATTTCTTAGTCTGCACTAGTTGTTCTTCATCTGTTGTTCAAGCTAAGATGCTGGTAACTAGAGCCAGAGCCTGTGGGAGGCTCATGGTGCTGTTTGCTTTAGGGGCTGTGTGACCCTGGGTGAGCTATTTAACCTTCTTGTGCCTCACCTTCTTTCCTGTAAGGCAGGTTGCTGAAAGATTGAATTAACACCTATACAGTATTCAACATTATCTGTTATATACTAAGAACTCCTGAGATAGTAACCTTATTTTGTCATGTGCTTTTCTTATTGTGCAAGAAATGAGGCTTTTTTTTTTTTTTTTTTTTGGTGGTGCTGGGGATTGAACCCAGGGCCTTGTGCATGCAAGGTGAGGCAAAATTTTAATGAATGCATTTTCTCCTGAATATATGAATGTGCCCATTCTCTGAATACTGGCTCATGCCCCATACTCTGTTGGGACCCACAGGGTCTCTGAAAGTCACATGTAACAGCTAACATTTACTAACTGTATTTGCTGTTTCCTAACCTCTGTGGAAAACACCTTAGATACATTTTTAATCTTTATAATAGGCAAACAACCATAACATTCCAGGGGTGGAAGTATCAGTTTATTAATTTTCTTTTAAATCTTGAAAACCAGCTGCTATGTTCTTTCTTTACAGTTGATGAAACTGAGGCTACATCATTTGCTTCAGGTCACAGAGATAGTAAGAGTTGGAGCTGAGATTTGAACCTAGCTCTTCAAATCCAAAGCCCAAATCTTTTTCTGGGCCTACTACCAAATTTATGCAGGAAGATTTTATCCCAGTTATTCCTGGATTATGTCTTCCCTTGTAAGTCTGTAACAAGAGAAAAAATTTAAGGAAAAATATATTCTTAAAATGTATTAATTTTTCACTTGTCCTTCTAATAACAGGGGGAGTCTTGATTTTGCAGATTATGTTTCTTACAGTCAGGCCATGTTTTGCCAAAAGAAATAGAGACAGCTTTTAAAAAGGGTATTGACATAGAATATTCCTGGAAACGGAGAACAAGGAGAAGACCTGGAGAAGGAGATAAACCCTTCTAGGTCAGACCCTCAGGGACCCGCCTCTTTCAACCAGACCCACCTCCTAATTATTAGTCAGCTACAAGCCCCAAATTCACTCACCTTCCAAAGGCCCTAAGAACTTATGGGCAATCTCTCGATATAAACCATAACATGACCTATGCCGTCCCAACCTAGGTGCTCCCCCGCTGGATCAGGAATGATGCGTGGAAGACACGATGTTACTCCACCACATGGACCTCTAACCCTAACACTCAATTCTGCACCATCATCCCCAGGCTCATCTAAAAGTCGCCTGATTCCCCTCACTTCCCCTGACATGGCGCTGGCAGAGCAAACATTTGAAAAATCAGTATTGACTGGAATTTGAAATTATAAGATAATTATTGTCAAAGGGGGGACTTTTGGTTAGAAGACGCTGAGGATTATGGTTTCCTTTCTAACTTGGTTCATATTTTCCTAAAGTGGAACGTCGGATCCTTTTAATTTTTTTAGGATTTCTCCTACAAGACTACTTAGGTTGTGGTTTTTGTGTTTCATACCTGTCTTTTCTTAACATTTTATTATGTTACTTTTATTAAAGTCCAGGAACAAAATTGGATACAAAATCATCAGTGTAGTAGTTACATAGTGATTTTGTTAATTCATTTTTTAAAATTTTGGTGGGATTGGGGGGCAGGTAAGATTTCATTCAGAATGATTATGAAAACCACTGTAAGATAATCATTCTTCTTCAAAAGTTAGGAAATACTCTCCTTGGGTTAGGAGAGCCAATGAAAGTGAAAGGCACCGTGAAACTATTCCCCCGCCCCCCACAAAAGTCTGAGGGCTTACTTTGGTGGAGTTGCCTGATTGGAGAGAGAAGTTTATATCAGATGGGGGTAAACTGAACCGTCAAGGAGTCTCTGATTGAAATGCAAGCACCTTGAAAGTTTGTGATGCCAAGAAAACCAGCTCTATGGTGTATCATAGCAGTGGTGTGGAAAACAGAAGTGGCAGACAGAAATCCTGAGTTGTGCATAGGTCTGGTAAAACAGTTGATTATGAAAACATTTAAGGAGTTTAGAAGTGATGAACTTGGCTCCAATATTACTTAAGTAGTAACTGAGAAGAATTAGCAAAAATAATGTGAAGTCTCAGGACCTCATAGTCCCCCGCCCCCTTCCTGTATTGGAAAGCTGAGCTATGTCCCTAGAACTTAATTTGTTTTGCTTTTTTGAGACAGAGCCTTGGCAAGCCACTAAATTGCCAAGGCTGAGCTTGAATTTGCAGTCTCCTGCTTGTTTCCCAGAGTGCTGGGATAACAGGTGTGTGCCACCATACCTGGCTGCAGTTTCTTAAAGTTATAATGAGGCTTATATGTTTTATTTAGTACTAAAGATGGGTACGTGTTGTTTTCATTAGTGTAATAATTATATATATGTATATATAATAACCATAGATAGGTGGAAAGTCATCTACTGTTTGGTTCAATTTTTTTGTATATTTCCTTCAGGTCACACACTACTAAAAGCTCAGGAATCACCAGGAATTGTGGCATGGCTCCGTGCTGTGCAGAGCCAGTCCTTTCTGGTGACGGCCAGGATATTTTTGTGAGGATAGAGTGGGGTCCTCAGGGAGTAACCTGGGGTGCCTGAGGGTCTCTCAGTGTCTGGTTCTGTGTGGCTTATTCCAGACCCGGGAAGAAGTGGGGCAGTAGTCAGAGGAGTTCAGTGTTTTGAGCATAGCAGAATTTCAGTGGGATTGAAAGGACACTCACACATTCTGTTCTCCCATAGCACCTTGCTTCACCTTTGTGAGAACTGAGTCCTCAGGAGGAGGGAAAGGTTGATCTGTGTGAACCTTCGCAGGTGCATAGTTTAGGGAGGATGACTTGGGGGTTGTGGCTGAGGTAAGGTGTGCCCTGCTGACTGTTTTCAGGTAAAGTGTAAAGGTTAGCATCAGGCCCAGAGATTCATCTAAATAAAAAATGCCTGGCCTTTTCAGAAACTGCAGGCTCTGCAGTCCCACAGCGTGACGGAGTCCAATCTCGGGTCACTGCGGGATGAGGAGTCTGAGGAACGACTCAGACAGGCACAAGAACTCCAGGCCCTGAGAGAGAAGATGGAGACTCAGGTGAGCTGATGTTCCGTGCCGTTCTTCTGAGAGCAAGCCAGGGGCCTTGTTATCCCTAGGGATGCCTGTCGTCTTGGCTCTGTGGACTTAGGAAAGCCAAAAGACATTGAAGCTTTGTATTTTCAGAACTTTGTGAACATGTGAAAGCATAGAATAAGGTCCTCAGGTGAGGCTGATATGAAATATCCAGTTTTCCTGAGATCTTTTCTAGAATACACACAAATGCATATGAGCATGTGACAGGCAGAGTGGTTGTCACAGCCATTAGAAAATGCCATGTTTCCATCTGCTCCAAAAGGAGGGTAAGAAAGAGCTTCAGATCTGGCAGCTGTAAAGCATTTGCCTTTCTTTTTCCTATGAAATCTTTTCACAATCTTTACCTATTTTTCCATTATTTATGTTTTCCCAACTCATTTATGAGTTTGTATAATGTGTGGGAGTTGGCTCAGCCCCTTGTTCTAGTTGTGGCTATTTCCCCCAGTTTTCTGTTGGTTCTTCAATTTTGATTATTGTAATTTAGCCATAAAATATAATATTTATGTGCTCAAAATTATCAAATTATCAGTCTTTTCTTCTTTTGTCTTGGTTCTGGGACTCAAACTCAGGGCCTCATGCGTGCAGGGAAGTACTCTACCCTGAGCTCCCTCCAGCCCCAGCCCTCTCCCCTCATCCCCAGCCCTCTCACTCGTTTCCAGTGGCCTTCCTCTGATATATGTGTTTTATTCTTTTAGTGCTTTGATGGCTTTACTTTTGATGTTTAAGTCTTGGATCCACTTAGAATTTCCTTTGGTTTACAATGTGAAATAAGGATCCAGTTCACATATTTTGTAGGCAGCTGGCCACTTGTTCAAACACTTTTAGTCAAGAACCCCTCTCCATTCCCTCAGCTGAGTTTCCATTTGCTTTCCTCTTTGTCCTGGCTTTCTTTTCTGTCCCATTAGTCCGTCTTCCTAATTTTAAGCCATTGTCTTTTAATTTCTGTGGCTTTATAATACATGTTAATATCTAGAGGGGTCTATTTCATAAGCTGTTAATCTTTTTCAGAAAACAGAGTGGAGGAGAAAATTGAAGGAACTGCAGGAGGAGCGTGTGACAGAGAGGAGAGAGGTAACTCCACTCATGGTGCCTTCTCTTCCATCCTTGTTGGGAATGGTTGTCAGGTAGTTTGTTGCTGATACTGTTCCTGGCTAGTGGCTCCCATCAGCACACAGAAAGGAGCAGCTCTCTGACCAACAGTTTCCCTGGCCAGAAGCAGGGCTCTCCAGCCTTGCAAATAAATACCCTTTATGCAGCGCTGCTCCTGCAGGCCCTCTTGTGCTTTAAAGCTTGGATAAGCATCTGGTGGCTTCGTGTTTGGGCTCCTCGAAAATCCACCCTAGAGAGAGCCAGGTGGGACAAACCTCACTGATGCCCCAGAAAGCAGCAGCCATGTAGCAAAGAAAACTCTTCCATACAAATTCCCCCACAAGAGGAAGCAAGTGGAGGAACAAGCCAGCGAACAAGAACTCCATGACCTGCCTGCAGAAAGCTCAAGAGATGACAAGGCTTAGATCAGAATTTGGCACACGGTGGATGCATTTCCCACTCTGATAGTGATGCACAGTTCCCAAGTGATGGTTTTGTTTCAGCTGAAACATTGTCAGATGGGAAGTATATTCAAATTTATTCCCAAAGCAGAAGAAACATTAAGGTACACTGAGCCACTCCCACCTGACCCTACTCCCACCTAGCTACTCCCACCTGTCTCTACCACGCCCACACAGGCCATGAGGTGTATTCCCTTCTCATCATTCTTCTATAGAGTTCTTTGGGCAGATGTTAATAAATAGTCTTATTTTATGTCTGTTGTTATATCAGAGGTACCATGTTAACACATTTTCTTTACTTATGTTTAACCTAAAACATGTATCCAGTGATACTTGAATGGTCTCAGCCTACCTGTATGGCCCTCAGTGGGTGGCCACATGTGACATAGCACTATCCCTCCTGGCCTTAAGGGCCTGATTCTATTCTTACTTCTCAGGCATAGGTCAAAAATCTGCCCAGAAGACATTTGACTGACTACTGCCCTATGCCCATCAGCTGCAGGAGGAGAATGAGAGGCTGCAGGCCTCTCTGTCCCAGGATCAGAGGAAGGCAGCCACCCAGGCCCAGCGCCAGATCAATACCCTCCGTGCCCAACTGCGGGAACAAGCCAAGCTCATCGCCTCACAGGAGGAGAAGGTGGGTCTGTCCTCTGCCCCGCCAGTGATCCTCATTTCACTAGGGCCTGAAAGGGAGGGAAGAGTCCTCAGCATGGTGGCTACAAAGTGAGGAAGATGTTGATGCTTCTTTCCAGGCAGAAAAAGTTCCACTTTCCTTAGGGGCAGCTGGCAGATGAGTTCACTGTAAGGCAGAGATCATGTGACTCTGGTTGATACTTAGCTTATTATCTCATTTAAGCCTCAGTACTGCCCTTTGGTGTAGCCATCACCTTTCCCTGTCTTCATTGATGGCTTGATGGGATGACGAAGCAGGCTGGAGAAGTCCAGTGCCTTGCTTAGGTCTGCATTGTGCAAGTGACAGAGGAGGGATTCAACCCAAGCCAGTGGGCAGTGTGTGCTCTATACCGTGTCCTCAGACTTAATTCTTAACCAATCCCTTTTACCCAAGTGAATAGCCTGAAGTGTTGTTAGGAATACCAGCATGGTGAAAAGTGGCTTACTCAATAAGCATCTCTCTCTTAGAATTGGCCCCTGTGACTCTTCATCTGTCCTTGATCATTCTCATCCCACCCCAGGCTCAGGACTCCCCCAACCCATGATTCGAAGATTCATGGGAAAGCCCTCGCCTTCTGGGTCCTCCTGGGGACTTGCTATTGGTCTTATACCACCCACCTCATGGACCAACCTCCACATAGCTCCTCTGGGCTGCACAGCCCCTGTCACTGTCTACTTCATCCTCCTGTCCTTGTGCTCCTTGCTAGTTGTGCTTTTCTACCCTGCCATGCCACTTCCCTCAGCCAGGTGTCTACCACCTCCTCCCTTGATGCCTGGCTTGTCACTGCAGTGACCACTCAGGTCTAGCTGGAGGATTCCTTTTTACATTTCTTAAAACTTCCTTGCAAATATTTCGGTTAGGAGCCCTTTGGCTAAGCATAACAAAGTGAGTTAATACCACCTGAGGAGGTGACAGTGGCTTGCAATGGTTAGCAACAATATTTTGCCCCCGGGAATCCGGACTGTCTTTTTTTTTTTTACGCTATTTAAGGTGTTGAGTTTAGTTCTGATGCTTAGCTCTCACAGTTACAAACATAGCTTCCACAGCCCAACCTTTATAATCCTATTTAAGGCCCCTTTCTAAGACTTCTGCTGATAAATTATTGTCAGATCTCTGCTACATGGGAAGCTATTACTTCAAGAAGAGGAGGAAACTGTAAAATTGGCTATAGTCTCTAGAACAGAGGTATACTAGGCAGAAAGCATTTCAGAAGGGGTGTTGGATGAGTCTCAGTGTATGAAACAGTGGATGAAAACAAAACCCAGCTCTAGCTGAAGCAGAAGAGGGAATGTGCCACAAGGTAAGACAGAGCATCTCACAGAGCTCAAGGCAGGGATGCAACAATCTGGGAATAAACTGGAACCAGAGACATGAGCATGGTCAGAGTTTCCCTCTTCTATGTGCCTCGGTTCCTGTCTGTATATCTACTTCAATATTTAATTTTATTCCAAAGACCAGCTTCTGCTTATTATTGGTTCCATGTGGCAAAACAAACAAACTAAGAAAACAAAAAACCATTGGCTGCCAATAGCTTCTGACTCATTACCAGTCTGGAACTTTCCACTCAAACCTGGACAGTCAGATCTGGCTGTGGTGTGAGGTCACATAGATCACAAGTGGCTGCCCAGTCTGCAGCCATGTGGAAGGAGGCAGGAAGAGGAACTTCTTTGATGCCTGCATCATGCCTTGTGCCGTGTGCCTGGCTTTCTACTCAGCTCAGATGCCCGCATCATGGAAGTGGCCTCTACCTTGCTTTGACTGTTTTCTATGGACTATACTGATAGTGTGTGCTGGCCTACTTTTTTTTACCTGGGAATCCTGCCTCAGAGCTGGAGGCTTTCTTTGAAGAGGGGTAATTCTTGTCTCCCCATCTAGGTTAAAGAGTGCAGGCTGCCATCCTGGGTTGTTGCTATTCTACCTAGGCTCAATCCTGTTTCACGTACAGACTGTGGGAGATGTTTGGGGGGCTGAGGTGGTATAGCCCAGCTCCTTCTAGTGGCCAGTGGTGGCATGGTGACAGTGGCCATCCCTTCTTCACTGTGCTGGGCACACCTGCTGCTCAGAGCTGAGTACCAGAGGGATCTCTGCTGGCTGTAACCTGCTCTGTTCCCCCTCTTGCAGATCCAGAACTTGTCCCTCAGGAAGACAGAGCGTAAGTCCACAGTGGGTGGCTTGTGACAGTCTTGGCTATTGTCTCAGGCTATTTTCTCTCCCATATTCTAGGCATTTTATAGGTGGAGGATTGGGATATTTGGTATAGGTCTGTCCAATGGGGAAAGGGATGGACTTGCTGGGATAGACAGCATTTGTGCTGACAGCTGTCCAACAGCTGGGAAGGATTCTTGACTGGTTTGCTTATTTGCACATGGGTGGGAGTTGGAGGAGGTGTGAGGATTTGGGGGTGTGTTGATTGATGAAGTGGGGTTCATGAGCAGGCTTTCTAATTTACCATGCCTGTGGCAGGCTTCAGGGTTGACCAGAATATTACTGTTGAATAACACTAGTGTTCCATGCATTTGGTTGCATACTAGATTCATTGTCTTGCTGTATTATCTCCACTATTTAGTGTGGAATGTACATTATTATCTTCATTTTTTGGAAGAGGAGACTGAGGCTTAGAGAGATTCAAGGATTTCTCATTTTGTGCACAGCTGATGGGGCCAGAGCTGAACTTTGATGTGAGCACAACTCTTTCTCCAGTGCCCGTGATTGTGGCTGCTGCTTTATCCTGACTTTTTGAAAAAGATGAATCTACTAGAGGACTTGCTTTTTCTGGTCGGAATTGACCTGGGGTCCTCCACTTTTCTCTAAGTCAGGGATGGAGTCCAGGGTAGTGGATCCACTAACTGTTTCTGCTCTTTTCAGGGATCCAAGAGATGCCAAAGGCTGTGGACACAGAGGTGGATTCTCCTGAGGAAGGTGGGCCTTCCCCTATTGCCTGGCCAGCCAGTTTCCTTGCCAGAGGTTCTGGTGTGGGTGGTTTTTTCATTTAACCTTCTAGGAATACTCAAAATGTGAGCATATAAGCATGCTCAGTGTTTTCCTCTTCCTCAAATAGAAACATACATGTAAATTGCGTATGTAAAAACATTTGTAAGTTGCTTATATTCTTTAATTTGAGACAAGATCTCACTATGTAGTTCAGGCTAGTTTGAACTCACTATGTAGCCCAAACTGGCTTTGAACTCAAGGCAATCCTCTTGCCTCAGTCTCCCAAGTGCTGGTTACAGGAGTGTGCCACCACGCCTGGTTATTTTCTTAACAACTTCCCTGGAAAGCCATTCTGTATTTCTTTTATGTAGATCTGCTTCTTCATCACTATCTTCATCATCATCATCATCATTATCATCATCTGTCCTGGGGATTGAACCCAGCACTTTCACATGAAGCCACATCCTTTTAAAATTTTTAAATTTTGAGGCAGAGTCTTGCCAAGTTGCTAAGTTGCCGGGTCGGGCTTGAATTTGTGGACACTTCGCAAAGTCCAGTGGCCCGGGGTTCATAGGCTGAAAATCAAGATCACTGGCAGAGCAAGGACTAACTTGGAGCAGCAGGGCTCTGGGAATGGGGATCTCAGGTGGACACACTGACCTGCGATTGTCTTGTGCTGCAGAGCTGGAGGACTCTGGAGATGAGCAGCAGCAGGTGCTGGCTGCCCTAAGGCGGAACCCCCCATTGCTGAAGCAGTTCCGACCCATCCTGGAGGACACCCTGGAAGAGAAGCTGGAAAGCCTGGGGATAAAGAGGGTGCGTTCTAGGGCTACTATTTTAAGGGTCGAGATCTAGAACTGAGACATGGAGTCTTCTCGAACTAGACAGCCATCGATTGTTCTTTACCTTGTGAACATATTTGCTTGGCCTGGGCTCCTTTGTTCATTTCACCTCTTAACAGTGGTGTGGCTTCCTCTCTGTGCCCTCCAATGGCTTCTTGTGATGCCTTCCTATATCCCATCCCATGATGTTCTCTACTCATTGGTTACTGTCTTTTTCGTCTCTAAATTTTCTGACAGAGGAAATGGAATTGGCTCATTTTGACCTGGCACAGGTTTCTTGGATAAATGTCCAAGTGCATTGCTCATGGCACACATGGCCATGCCCATTCTGCAGGTGGCTATTGGTGGGGCAGGCACTGAAAGCTATGTCTGGAAGCAGTTAGCATTTGAATGCCATTGTTAGGCAAAGCATATGAGTTATCATTAAAAGCATCAATTATTAAATAAAAACACATCATTTCAATGAATAAGATTAGGAAAAAATTACCTATATAAAATTTAATTTGATAAGGATCCTCACTAAATTTGGGCTGTTTTCCACTACTGTTTAATCTGGTCTTGATCCCATGTTCAGACCTGATTTAAATATTTCGAACCTTGAATGAATCCTCATCTTGGATCCAGATATCTCTGAAGAAGCTACCATCAGCTCTGGTTAGATGCCAAAGCCCAAGCTACTTACAATAGTTGTTTTTTAATTTTTTTTTTCAGTTTAATTTTTCCAGTACTCTTAGCCAAGCACCATATGTCTGACATGACTATAGTGCTTGGGAGTGCACAAAAGAGCAAGCCATGGCCAAATCCTAGAAGTCAAGCAGGGGAAAGTGTGTCCCATCTAGGTCCGCCCAGGGTGTGGATGGAGTTGTGCCACAGCCCTGTGCCTTGTGCCACTGCTCAACCATCAAGTTTTCAACAGTGGGTGAAGTCGCTGCTCAGCCTACTCTCATCCTCATTTTGTACCGTGTCTACCACCTCACACTCATCATGTTCTGATCGCAGTGATCCCCAGGTCAGCTGCAATAGGTGTGAAAAGCTTAGGGGAAGAAAGAGCAGAGCTTCTGTCGGTAAAGGTGAGCTTCTGTCTCCCCCAGGATGCAAAGGGAATCGCCGTTCAGACTCTCAGACACCTGGAGTCCGTACTGAAAGCCCAGCGGGAGCAGAAGGCCAAGAAGTTTTCTGAATTTCTGAATCTGAGGAAAAAGCTCGTCAAAGAAGCCACCATCAGAGTGAAGGAGAGACAGAGCAGGGATGTGGTGTCCCAGCTCGATGGCCAGCCTCCAGGTTTGCTGGGGATGGGGCTTGCTTGGGGACTGTGGCCTGTAAGGATCCCCTTTCTGCTAAGGCTGCCTGCCCAGAAGAGGTTGTAATCTCGTTTCCCATCAGAGGCGTTGCCCCAGGGCTGAATGAGGGCAGAAGTCCTCTGTTGGGAGAAGAGCGTCCAGGGTGGGGCTGAGGGATGCGTGTCCAGGTCACCTGGGGAAGCTGGGGGAAAGCCACAGCTGGAAATTGTGGTCTGCTGTTCCCTGCTCAGACACGATACCTTCCTTGTAGCTTCAGTCCGCCTTGCTTGGGTGCTACAACCACAAGCCGAGCTTCGCTCTTACGAAGTGCAGCCATTCAGTCCGGCTCTGCATGCTGGTTTCCATGAGTCAGCATGGGAGACAGACCCCAGGCCTGGGAGCACTGAGGTCACCTGGGAACAAATATCAAGCCAATGAAAACTCTCTTAAACCTCTGATATCCCCTGCGCTGAGCAGTGCCACTCCCTGAGAGGCCAGATGGGTTCCACCTCAGACAAATGATCAGAGCTCAGAACTGGTCTTGGGGCCAGGTCGGAGCTGTTGCTTTCTCTGAACCTGGGGGTTAAGACAAGGGAAAGCCCTGTTCTGGAGGAAGATTAAAGTATGGGGACCAGGATCTTTGAGTCTGTCCTTACTTTATGGATTAGGAGAATTTTCCTTCCTAGGTCAAGAAACTCAATTTCTACAGGGTTCCCAGGCCTCTTGGAGGCTCTGTGCAGGGCTTCTGTGGATCCGGTCTGCTTATGCAGGGTAGTGCCCGGTGCCCTTCACATTGGTCCCCAGGCAAGGACACGTGTGCCCAGAAGGAGCCCGATTCTGGCTCTCATGTAGGGTCAGACTCTGTGAACTCGTTAGACCGAGGGATTTTGCAAAGCTTGGTCTGCATATTCCTGGGGATGTGACAGAGGACTTGAGTGGTACACGGGCCAATCATTTTTACATTTAATTTTTGTTTTTTAAGTGAATTAGAAAAACATATTCCTAAAACAGCAATCCTGTAAGCTCACAGAAATGATTACCTAGAAAATTATAAAGCAGTTATTTTTTATTTAAAAATGTTGTCATTTTACAGCAGGGCAGTTAACAGGACATTTGATCTGAGACTAGTTCTGGGAAATTATCCTACTTAGTTTAAACTTCTGTTGCAAAATTACTAAGAAAAGGGGCATTTTCTCAGCGTTAACACAAACAAATCTGACAGAAGGATGTTTGTCCTGATTGCTTTCCTGCCTTTTGGGCTTGGATTTAAGCTTACATTCTTTTGGTCATTTGTCCAGTGTTCATTTGTTAATTCACCTGTCTACACCTTTACTTAGTGTAGTATTTGTGAGGTAGCCCGGCTCCGGGGTGGCCTCCTTACCTGGGAAGCCGTCAGCACTATGTGAAGTGATGGAGCCAGGCACAGCGGTGGGGTAGGGGAGAGCAGGGAGGGCAGGGGTTAGGGATTCAGGAGGAGGATGGGCAATGCCTTCATCTCTCAAAGCTCTTGTGAAACAGAATGGTACTGTTGAGAGAGGCATGGAGGGGCCAAATGGATGTTTTGCTTGGTGTCCACAGTCACTGAGCTCCTGCTGTTTTTGCTCAGCAGGTTTGTCTTTGCTTTCCCCCTTCCTTCACTTCCTTCTCTCTCAGAAGGTCTACTCTGAGCAGATGCATTCTCTGAGAGCAGAGCATTTCAAATGTTTTTGACCTTGAGCTATTGTAGTAAGAAACACATTTGTAAGTTTCAGAGACACCTTCTGATTCCCTACCTTACATTTTCTCTCCTGATCTCTTTCCATAAAATATTGTTGGACCCCTCTCCCTACAATGGGTTTTGGTGCAATTTGCAAAAACAGAGGACCTGTGACTGTTCTTTTTTGGGGGGACGCTTGTACCCCCCTGCTTGTGGGAGCAGGCAGAATGTGGCTCTGGCTGGCCACGCGGTCCTGTGGCGACCTCTGGTGGCAGCAGGTCTTTCCTGCAAGGCTACCTACACTTGGATAGGAGATTCGGGAGAGGTGGCGTTGGTGAGATCCACCTCTAGGGCTGTGCAATCAGCGTCCTCAGCCCTTCGGTCTCTGGTGTCCCAGCAGAAGGACTTCTGGGGTGGGAGAACTATTACACCTGTTATCATCACACAGCACACAGAGAGTGACTCTGTCTAGTTTGACCCTCTTTCTACAGTCTCTAAGGCCTGAGAGCCCAGAATGGCATTTTTCTGTAAGTCATTCCCTTCTATGTTTTAGTCAAAAGCCAGCGGAGTACACTGCTCACCAGAGAGGTTCGGCCAAAGAGCAGGACCCTGCCTGTGGCATTGCCATCCAAGCAGTCAGAGCCATTCACACCAGCTCTTCAGAGCCACAGCAGCCATGGCGCTGGCTTGACCCAGGTGTCTGTCCCGACTCCGCGCCCCAGAGGGCACAGACGCTCCAGCACCCCTGCATCACAGGGCCCAGGACTGAGGTGAGCTCTGGCCTCTGGCCTCTTACGGGGCCTCAGGAAGTGGTCCCTGCCTTTGCAGCCCTTTCCTGAGCCCCTTCTGCAGACAAAGGAGGGGCAGAGACAGATGTGAACAGGAGGTAGGCCTAGTGGGGTCCAACCTGGGGAAGAGATCGGGGATCTTTTGCTGCCAGCCAAGATAGACCTACCCTCTTCTTCTGCAGCCCAGCTGCCCCCCTGCAAGGGTGGGGTCGTCAGGCCTCTTCTGGTGTGGCTGCTGCACTCTGGGAAGAGTCCTTGCTGTCATCTGAGCCCCAAGGAGGGATCAGAGCTGGCTCTGGGAAGACCCAGCAGGCTCTTGAGGTGGTGAAGCTTTCTTTCCAGCCCATGGGCTCCTCCTTTCTTCTTTTCCATGCAGCAGCACGCCTCCATTCAGTTCTGAGGAGGACTCAGAGGGAAAGGCTGTGCATCACGTGTCTCTTCAGACCCCGAAAGTTCCTTCCAAGATGGTGCCCAAGCAGGAGAATGACTGGGACTGGTCTGACACTGAGTCCTCGGAAGAGAGCGCCCAGCCCCCTGGCAAGGGCTCAGGTGGCCTGGATTCCTCTGGTGAGTGGGGCTGCTGGGGAAACCCCTCTCCAGCCCACAATTTCCGAGGTCCTGGGGACACCCTGTCACTTTCTGATTTGGTTTATCTTTCTCTCTTTGCTTTGGGGAACATGTTTTTTTTTTTGTTTTTTTTTTTTTTTTTTTTTTTTCCTCCTTATAGTATTCTGGGATAGCAGAGATATCAGGGGAAAGCTAAAATGTGTTTGGGATAATTTTGCTTCTAGTTTTGTCACTGAGTTGTTTAACTGTTGGAGGTTGGAAGCTGTCACTTGCCCCTTTATTCTTACATTCTTACCAGCAGGAGATAAACACTGTGATCATTTTACTAAGGTGACAGGATACAGGAATATTCAGGGTATAGCTTTCCATTAGGGCTGGATTGGCAAAACAGCTATTACTGGAGGCAAAAGCTTCGGACTGTGTTTGTGTGTGCAGCCTAGGTCAGCAAAGCAGACCCCGAGGGGACAGGATCTTAAACATACAGTCGTGGGCAGTATTTCAGTTGGCTTCCAACCCTTGTCACAGGTGCAGGCAGAGGGCTGGAGGAACAAAGAGTTGCCCTGTTATGGGCCGAAGCATGACGCCCTTCTGCTCTTCTATGAGTGGGCCATGACAGGGTCATGGGGAAGAAACTGAGTGGGAATTCCATTCTTGCCATCCTGACATAGGAGCAGAAGTTCTTTGTTCCACTGACACCTCTGGCAAGAGAGAGAAGATCTTCCCTCTATGTTGTCCTTTCTGGGTGCACAGCGTGTGCTCAGCTCTGTGCCCACCTTGTTTCCTTCCCACAGTGCTCATTTGGAAAGGTGTCCTCTGTTCAGCTTAGGAGGTTTTGACTTTATGATGGTGTGAAAGCAATACATGCTCAACAGAAATCCTGGTTTGCTCTTTATCCAGGCCAGCAATGTGCAGTTCTTTACTCTTGAGCTGTGGGCCGCAGCTCCTTTTCAGCTATCAAGTCCTAAGGAGAAACAACTGAACACCATAGTGTACTGGGTTGCTAAGCTAGGGTGTTCAGTAAGTTAGGTATATTAAACACATTTGTGATTTATATTTTCAACTTATAGTGGGGTTTTGAGGGATATAACCCCATCATAAATCAAGGAATGAGGCTGAGGCTGAAAGACTGCAAATTTGAGTCCTGCCTGGGCAATTAGCAGGTTGGTCTCAAAATTTAAAAAAAAGAAGGGGGGGGGGAGGCTGGAGATGTAACTTAGTGCAAAGGCCCTGGGTTCAACGCATAGCAAAACAAAAACAAAAAACAAGACAAAAACAAAGAAAGTGAAGGAGCATCTGTTTATACGTGGTTACAGATGTTGAAGTAGCCTCTGAGATGTGACCAGTTTGAGACAGTAGAACTGGTGTTGGGACCAATTACATTGTGTATGATGCTTTTGAAGTTATTATGTTGGAGCCACTGCTTGCTAGCTTGTTTATTTACTGTAGGATAAATTTTCCCCAGGAAGAACTGCTATTAGCTGTGTTCCTTAGCTGAAGCACATCTGCTCAATATTTCACACTGCCTGAGATTGTTAGCAACACACCAAGGGTTTGTGGTTTTGGAGTTAACCATCACTGTGGCAAAGATAGCCTCCAGGGCAATCCTTGGTTACAACTGTAAGGAGGAACAGTTAATTGCAATACACACTTTGAGAAATATTTCCTAGAATATTTGTAGTTTAACAAACACTTTTTTTTTCTGTGCTAGGGATTAAACTCAGGGCCTCACACATGCAAGGAAAATGCTCTATCTTTGAGCTATCCACAACCTAAACAAACAAAATTTTCGTAACAAAGAGTAGTGAAGAATGTGGTTTCCCACTAACCTTAGGGATGTGGGGCTCCGGTAGGTAGCAGGAAGCCTTCTGCAGACTGCTTCAAGTCTCTGCCTATACAGCCCTTGGGCCACGTCCTACCAAAGAGCTCTTTGCTTCTTTTCAGCACACAAATAGTCAGGGATTCAACTTGTAGATGAAAAGGGCATGATAGAAATTTAAGCTAGACCTTATGGTAATTGGTAAGGAAATATTCGTTAAACTTAACATTTTTTATGTAACAGGTTACAAGGAGTAGTTGAGAACTTTTCTTCTTAGAATTGCTATGCCTATCCCACTCTTGCAAGATTTGCTTTTTAACATTGCTAGTGGAGATCTGTAGTTTCAGTCATATCTCCTAGCTAAGCTAAGTTAAAGAATATAGAGCTTTGTCTTTCTAAAGCCAGCAAAAGCAGCTCTGGGCTTTATGCTTAGTATGCAATTTGTAAGTCTTTCCTCTGGACTTTGTCTTTGTCTACTGGACCCTATGGCATTTTGTCCTGTCCTTAGCATAAACCAAGCCTGTCAGCCTATCAGAATTCACCAGAACCAGATCTCTGGAGAAATTTTGATTTCTTACCAGACAAGACGGTAAGCTGGCAAGATCCTGGATCTGTTGGGAATCTTCAGGGATAGTTCTGTCTGTGTTACTTACTTACTACTTGCTATCTTTGTGTGAAGATCTTGGTTCCGTTGTTGTGAAATGAGGTATTTGCATAAATGATTAATAAAGAGATTGACAAACACAGTGCTTGCTATATTCAGTAACAAGAACTTTAACAAGCATTTTTTGAATGAATCAATGAGAAAAGAGTTGTTTTAGCTGTCGCATTCTGCTCAGGTCCCAGGCATTTGAATCCCAGAAAGCTGTACTTGTATGCAGTTAGCTCTTCGTGGCCATTCCTGAGATCCAGCCATGACTTCAGTTTACCATGTACCGGGGCCACTGATGACCTATGTCACTGCCTAACTCTTGCTTCTTGTACAGAGTTCACAGGAAGCCATTTTCTCTTGCAGTCCTCCTGTCCTAATTGGTATTTGATCTCTCTTTTTGGTTGGGTGTAGATGTTGTTGAATGGCCTGTCTGCACGTTAGTCATTCAGTTCATAATCCAAAATGAGCAGAGGGCCTGTTTCAACCTCTCCTTAGGGGAGAAATATCCTGCTAAGCCTCCATCAACCCATGTCATTATGTTTGCATGATTGCGTTTTTGGAATAATCCGAAGTCCTGTTAGCCAGGGCCTTCTCTGCCTCTGTGCCCCTCCTTTTGACTTGCCCCATTTCCTTCTTTCCACACTGGAGCCTGGACAAGACCCACAGGATGAAGTGTTCATTCTCTAGGCTTTTTCCAAAGACATAGCTGCTTGTTCCCCCTTCCAGGAACACTGGTGCAGTCGATCGTGAAAAATCTCGAGAAGCAGCTTGAGGCTCCAGTGAAGAAGCCTGCTGGAGGGGTCAGTCTGTTCTTAAGGCCTAACAACGGACCACAGAGGGCTGCTGTTCCAGGAAGGAAGCCTCAGGTAGGAATTAGGAGTCTTGGGGTGGCCCTACCATTCCTTAAAGAGCCAGCTCCAAATTTGAGGGGCCTGGGGTGAGGCATGGGGCCCCATCCAGCAAGTGTTAGCTTTGACCTTAGTGGGACATTGCAGGGGTCATTGTCTAGCTCTGCCCCTACACATGGAGAGAGATGGTGATGGGGATTTAGCTCCATGGCATAAGCGCCAAGTACGAGGTTGTGAGTTTGATCCCCAGAACAAACAAACAAACAAAAAAAAATGTAGAGAGATGACCATTTTGGAACTCTTTGTGTGTCCCTGTTAAGTTTTAAGTCATTATACCAGCAGCTGCTCGGTGAGTTTAGTTCCCAGTCTCCTACCGCTGAGAGCCTCTGGACTGACCACGTCTGGCTTTGTGTTCTTTCTCTGCCACTGTGGGCCCCTCCCAGTCCTCAAGTCACTCTGTGGAGGATCCCAACCCGTATTAGTCAGTGCTTACTAGAGTCAGATGTAGAAGAGTGCAAGAAATCTGTGTGCATGCTAGAGATCCAAGAAATCCAGCCAAGGGCCCAGATCCCAAAGCAGTGTCCTGTATGAGTCCAGCTGAGGTCTAGAGGCCACACCAAGGTCCTGTGCAAGTCCACTTCAGGAAGCCAAGGAATCCACCTGGAAGACCAAAGGATCTGTTCTGGAAGTCCAGGGACCTAGACTGGCAGGCTGAAAGACCAGGGCTGAAAGCTGAAGAACCAGGAGACAATGCCCAAGACAGAGGCCAAGACCAAAGCTCCCAGCCAAAGTGTCAGTGCCGAAGGCCAGAAGACGACACTCAAGGTGAAAGCAGAGAACAGAGCAGCCATCCTTGGTGGAGGTAGAGCTCAGCCAAAGAGTCAAAGCTTCTCTGAGGCCAATCATCATAAAATCCTCCCCTCTTGTTCTCCTGTTACACCATTCCCCAGTGCTCACTCAGTCAGCTGGGCATTCTTCCTCAAGTTGACCAATAATTAATCACCATGCCACCCAAAACCACCTGTTGAACAGAGCCCCCTGCTGGTGGGCGTGGGCGTGACACCACATCACACTTCAGAGACCGCAGTGTAAAATGGGAGTATTTTGATGCTTTTGCTTTAAATACTCCAGGCCGTGCCTCATCACTGAGTGCCTTCCCCCAGCCATAGCTGTGGTCAGTGTCTCAGACTTGGAGGTCAGAGGGGGCATTTTCCCCAGCATTACTAGACCCTCCTCATGGCTCTCCCTTCATCCGTGAGGGAAAATCTCCACTCTCTTGTTAATTTCTTAGGAAGATGTAGAGCTCTCTTTACATTTCCTTCTTACCTTTCCCATCAGGTCGTTGCATTTTGAGATAATCCATAGTAGTCCCTCATATTCTGGAACAGTGGGCAGTCATTATTTGAGTTTTCTTGTTTTTGCTGTGGACTCAGAGCCTCACACACAGTAGCTAAGTGCTTTACCACTGAGCCCCTCGTGTTTTTTCCTTAAATAGTATCCTTTTAATCCCTCACCTTTTTATTACATAGTGTGGTTGGTTTAGCATGGCTTTGTGTAAAAGAACCCCAGCTCGTGCCATTTTCCCATGGTGCAAGAGTACTCATTGCCCGTGCAGATGGAGGCGCAGTCCTGAGCGTGCCTGCTGCCCCAGGCCTAGTGTCTTCTAGTTGGTTGGCCTTACATGCCAGGAGGAAAGGATAAAATGCTTGTATAAAAGCCCGGGCACCTGATGAGGTCACTGACCCCTCTGGAGGGAAATGCCTGGCTGGACTGGTGTGTTCTGCGGTCTTGTGGTTGCCTGGTCTCTTGCCAAGCTCTGAGCTCACCCATTGACTGCAGCCCGGAAGGCTCTGAGGTCCCCTTTCACTGATGGGCTTGAAACTCCTAAGCTTCCCTCGAGCCCCTCCAGTCAGTGTTTACCGGGCCGCTCAGAACCACTCGAAGAGGAAGGGGCTGCTTTTGCCAGTGGTGTATCCAGCTGAAGAACTTTCGAAGACCGAGGCTGTGGGCTTCTAGCTCTATCACTGTGGGGAATTAAAAACCTGCAATCTGAATAAAAACAAGAGCACTGCATTCGGGGATGTTTGAAATCACTCTGGCCCCAGGAGCCTGGAGCAGGTTCTCACAGAGAGCAGACTTGAAAAGGCAGGAGGAGTGGCAGGTCCCTGCTGCCTTCCTCTCGATCTGTATTTGTTCCCACCTCCATCTTGCAAGCTTGGTGCTTCACTCTCTGCTCTTCTGCACTTACCAAAATTCATTTTATTTTTCCATGTGCCCCTGCAGCTTTCTGAAGATGAGAGTGACTTGGAGATCTCTTCCTTGGAAGATCTGTCCCAGGACTTGGACCAGAGACAGAAACCAAAGCCCTTGTTCCGCTCAAAGCTCCTGGAGAAGACTGATGCCAGTGTTTGGAGCTCTGGCCGACCCAGGGTCCCTGGCTGGTGATCCTGCCCAGGTCTTGCTGGAAGGGGGCAGCCTTGTAACCTACCTGGGCCACCTTGGAGCACACATCCCATCAGGAGAGGCTGCTGGGCTCTTTCTTTCCCTGGCAACCTTCAGGGAAAAGCAGAGCAGGGGCCAGGTGTGACCTTTCCCTCCTCTGCCTTCTGCAGGGAGTCAGGGGTACCTGGCAGGGTACCCTAGTTCCCAAACCTTGAGAAATGGTTATAACAGGAAGCCATGTAGTTTCCACCCTCCATTTCCATGTCTACTCCAAACTGAAAAGAGTTATTCAGTCATTCTTCTGATCCTTTTTTTTAAATTCGCAGGATTGATCTGCAGGGTTTCCAGATACTGTTCCACATTCAGTTATTGAGTACCTATTCTGCTGGGTTCTTCAGCCTCTCATTAATGATTTGGGGTACAGGCAGCAGTGGGGAGGGTGGAGTATTTACATCCAGGGTCACTAGGTACTAACAGTGACAGAGATTGGGGTATTTTGGGAGCACAGAAGAGGCCAACTTCTGAGAGTTGTGATATCTGTAAGCCTTGTTCACGGGTGGGAGGAAAAGAGAGCCCCTTGACTGAGGCTTCATGTCCCCAAAGGACCGCAGATTTAATTTTTAATATTATTTCAAAAATCAAGACATGCACATAGCCACTGTATTTTTTTTAGTATGAAAATATTAATTTATTATATGCAAACATTTAAATATAGTATGATACATATAACTCTGTGATTTCTCCATTATTTTTTGTGGGAACTGTGGCTGGGAAAGAGGGAAGGAAGCAACCTGCCTCCATTGGGTTGATTTGGGTTCCGTGAAATCCCATTACCAGGGTGGAGTCAGGAGGGCAAGAGTCTTACTGAGGTGCCTCGCCCGGGAAAGGGGAAGGTGGCCGAAGTGGGATCAGGCAGAGAAAGGTGCAGAGTACGATGCAGAATGGAAAAAGAGGAGGGGGAGAAAGGAGGCAAAAGCGTCCTAGACTGCAGTGGAGGGTTGACCACGTCTCTACCAGCCCAATGGGAAGCTCAGAGCCAAAGCTGCTCAGGAAGGAGCCCCGTTGGGCAGGACTCCCAGGCCCTCCTGCACTCCTTGTGGCCATGGGTTGGGGCACCCCAGAGTGACTGAGGCCTCTATCTGAAAGCTGAGAGAACCCTATTAGGCAATTTTAGTCCTTAGTGTTGAACAGCAGTTTTTTTTCCTAAAGGAGGGTCCAGTCACGTACCTCATGTCTGCCACAGCAAGATGCTTGTTGATTTTTATTTTATTTTTTTGGTACTGGGAATTGAACTCAGGATCTGGTACTTGCCAGGCAGACTCTGTGCTGCTGAACTATGTCCCCAGCCCTTGATTCTTTATTCCTGGGAAATTTCAAACATATGTGTGAGTAGAGGGGACAGCGTGGCAAGCCCATGTCGTCATCACTGGGCTTTATGGAGCCTTTAGCCAGTCACGGGCAGTCTTGTTTCATCCATCTCCTGCCCTCACCCTGTCCAGGCTTTGACCTCTGAGTGTACCCGACACATGGGCTAGGAGGAACCAGAAGGGGTGCAAAAAGCCATCACAGAGAGCAAAAGGAGCCTGGTGGTGGGAAGGGGAAGGGCCGGGGAATGGCCCTCGGTGGGGCTGGACTATGGATAATACCAAGTCTTCCACTGCAGACAGCACTCCCCTGGATGGCTGCTTGGCGACTCCCTTCGTGCGTCTCATATCACTAAACTGCCAAGAATGTTTATGATGGACAGTGGCAGTGACTGTGTGAGGAGGAAGAAGGGGCACCAAGTGGGGAGTGGTGATGGGGTTGGTTCTTTCCTTAGAATTCTACCAGCAAAGCTGCATTTTCCTATCGCTGGGTCCAGGAAAGAGATACTTGTGCCACCCTGGCCTGGTCTTGACATCACATCCTGACGCCACCCAGCTCCCACATCACACCTCCGCCCTGGAGTCTCTGTGTTTTGGCCTCAGGGTTACCTCTGATCGGCAGGCGGCATAGTCTACCTGCAGGTGCAGAGAGCTAACACTGCAGGACAGCTCAGGACCACTGTGGGATGGACGTTGGATGTCTCTCGATGTGTGTCTCTCTCTCTGCCACTGGTGCTTCCCCCTGAGCCGAGCCTGAAGGCCAGAAACCCTGGATTGATTTTATTTTTAGTCAGTAGTTACTTCAAAACCCATGACCATCTGGTTTTTTTCACTTTAAAAATATTTCTGCTTTGTCAAATATAATATGTACTATGTTTCTGAAATTTCTATTTTTTCTGTTAATCTGATCATTTAACACCAGCATTATCCTTTTTATTTTGAGACAAGGTCACACTATGCAGTTCAGGCTGCCTTGAACTCACTTTGTAGCTCACGCTGGTCTTGAACTGCAACGATCCTCCTGTCTCAGCCTCCCAGGTGCTGGGGTTACGGGTGTATACCACCATGCCTGGCTTGTACTGTTTTATTTTAGTTTTCTCATTTTTATTATATTGGCATATATATAACATCAAAAGAACCATGTTAGCATCTTAAAGCATACAATTCTGTGGCGCTGAATCTACTCACACTGTTGTTCAGTCATCAGCACCATCCAGATCCAGAATTGTTTCTTATTCTAACCCAAAACTCTGCATGCATTAAGCAATGGCACCTCACATCCCACTCTCGTCAACCCTCCTGTTTCCTTATCCGAGAACATAACTACTTTAAGAACCGGGTGAATGGAATTGTGCCATATTTGTCCTCTTGTGAGTGGCTTATTTTACATTAGCATGGTGTTCTCAACATCCTACCTACACTGGACCATGGGAAAGAATTTCTTTCCTTTCTAGGCTGATATTTACAACTGAATCTGTGTATCTGTATTTATATTATGTTTCACATTTTGTTTATCAAGTTCACTGATAACGAAACACAAATGTTAAAAAATTGAGGTGATAAAAATATTGATAGAAACATTAATTGCCTTCAATTCATTATTACGTATTATATGCGTATTGAAATACCACTCTGTAGCTCATGTGTCAATTAAAATGGAAAAAATAATACACTAAAAAATTAAAAATAGAATTCAAGCAATTACACTTTTGGTTACACAGTCAAAGAATTGAAAGTAGAGAATCAAACAGATATTTCTACACCCGTGTTCACAGCATAATTTTTCACAACAGCCAAAGGAGGGAAGCAACCCAAATATGTACCGTTTTTTAAAAACAGAACTTTAAGTCAGGTAGGTAGTACAACTGTAAACCCAGCAATTGGGAGGCTGAGGCAGGAAGATAGCTGAGAGTTCGAGGCCAGCTACTTAGTGAGACTGTTCAAAAAAAACATAGTGAGACTGTGGCTCATATACATATCTCACATTTTCTTCATCTGTTGCTTCCAATTCTCAGTTGTGAACAGCGCTCTTACAAACCTGGATGTGAATGTCTCCTTTCAGTTCTTTTTGATATGTTCAGAATTGGAATTGCTAGATCCGTACTTACATATTTTTGGTACTTAAGGAACTGTTACAGTGTTTTCTGTAGTGCCTGTGCCGTTTTCCATTTTGGTTTTGCTTGTAAAGACCAGTTGACAGGTGTCTTCCACATGGTGGCACTGTGGGCCACGAAGTTACACAAGCACTTTTTAAAGGGACATCCGGATTTCACAGCAAGAGATAAGCTGCGTTTCCCACCTTACACTTCCTCTTGTGGTTGAACATAAACGTCTTGTTCAGTCAGGCAACTCTCCTGTGTTAACAAAACAAACCAAAACAAAACAACATGATTCCCCCCAAACTTTCAAAGGTAGGGGATGGAGCAGGCCAGACTGTGGCCAATGTTGTTTTCCTGCTCACTCACATGCTGCCGAGGACTAGCTGAGGTCCTTGCACAGAAAAGACAGTCAACAAAAGTCAGGGCTGGGCTGCAGCTCAGTGGGAGAGTGTATGCAAGACCCCGCCTGGTTCAGTGCTTACCACTAGAAAACAAAACAGACAAGAACACAGGTTGGGGCTGAGGATGTAGCTCAGCAGCACAGCACCTGCCTGGCAAGTGCGAGGTCCTGAGTACAATTCCCAGTGCCCAAAACAATCAAACCAAACCAACAATATTGGCAGATTTTATCAACTGTATCTGCATTCAAGGAGGCTTCCCATGGGAGCTTTTCCCTGCCCTGGAAGTTCCCACCAGATGTAATAATCCCACACTGAAAGATCCAGGTGACTCTGTGGTCTCCTTTGTTATTGTATTGTTTCTCTCATTTTCTTTCATTTAGTTTATAGATAGGTCCAGTTGACTTGTCTGTACCTGCTGCATTCTTTTTTTCCCTTTACAACAACTGCTTAGATCGTATCCAGTCCTAACTGAATCTCAGCTTTGGCTGAGACGTCTTTGAGCTGTTCTTGAACTATCCACTTTCTCTCCAGCTTCCCAGTACATATACGGACATCTCCACCATCACCATCTTCACCACCATCACCTACCTCTGCCTCTACCACTACCACAGTTACTCCCTCCACAGCCTCCACTTTTACCACCACCTCATCACCACCACAGTATCTGTCAGCTTTCCTCTACTGTCATGAAACACCTGAGACAGGCTAACTTGTAAAGCAAAGAGGTTTACTTAAAGTTTTAGAAGCTGGGAGACCAAATGACATGGCATAGCTTCTAGAGAAGGATCTCCCTTGGCTATATCACCAGACAGCAGATTGCAGTGATAGAAAGCAACAGTTACATTGCTAGACAAGAAGTTGGAGAATGATTGAGAAAGATCCTTGGAACTCTTGAGGGTGTAAGGACGTCTGAGCAGGCTCCGCCTCCTAAGTGTCTACAGCCTTAACACTGCCACACTGAGCACCAAGCCTCAAACACATGGGTCCTGGGAATCAAACGACGCCTGAGTCATAATTACCACCACTCACACCACCTCCACAGACACCAAGCAATCTGAGGACTGCTGCCTCCTGGTGAAAGCAGCTCCTCCTTAGAATGAGTGGAGACCTGAGGTGTCACCGGACAGGGACTGAGGAGGTTCCCAAAGCAGAAATGGGGAACCTGGACTCACCCACCCATGGGATGGGAATTTTCATTGTAGAAAGGATAAAAATTTTCAACATGTGTCAGAGACATCATAAGGCAGAATTTTAAAAATACACAGTCAAGAGTGGTGGCCTTCAAAAGACACACATCATTTCCTGGAACTGTGAACAGTTCTGTTTTTCTTGAAGGCATAGAATTCTATTGAAAAAATGCTTCCCCCCAAATTCCATCTTACAGATGAAAGGTAGGCGCCCAGATTTTTTTTCCAGATGGATAATTTAATCACTCTTTGAATTTCCCCCTTCTGTCCCTTTATTTTAACATCAAGTTCCTGTTCTCTATTTCCTCAATTAGCCTAATTTGTGGACTTAGTGAATTTGGGGTGTGGTGGGTCTGGAAAGACGGAGGCATGAATTAAGCTACGGAATGCTGATGTGGATGGCCTTAGATAATGCTGACTGCGTCCTAGAAGTTACAGTTTTCTTGTTTTTTTTTTTTTTTTTTTTTTGTCTTTTTCCTTTTTATCGGTACCAGGGATCGCGCTCATGACTGCCTGCTTGCAAGGCAGGTGCTTATGCTGCTGAGCTAAATCCCCAGCCCCAGTTGCAGTTTTCTTAAAAGTGAATTTTTTAAAATTATGATTTTCTTTGTCTCTTTTCTACCTATTTTTACTTCTTTTATCTGATCTCAGGGAAGGGCATCTGCAGTCCAGATTGGA